CCTTCATTCCAGTGAAGAATTCTGAAAGACATTCCATAAGGCTTCTCAGAAGGCATCATAAGATCAATCAAAGTAGGCCATAGCTTAGGCCACCTCAATAATGTACACTTGTATTGGTTTTTCCTCCTCTATTTTATTTCCTCTATGCCCTCACTCTGTTTCCTGAACTCATATTCTCAAATAAACTACAAGCATGTAACCCTTCATCCTGGGCTCGGAAGCCTGGGCTCTAAAACTGGCTCTAGACAGGAAACCTTCAGGAGCAGATTTTGGAGGCTGAGCCTATAACATGGATCACAAGACAATAAGGACCCCTGCTGGTGTTAAGTGGTTGGTGGTAAATCCCAAGGGGTGATAGCCGCTGGCATAGAGTAACGTCACAATTACCAAGATTCTCAGCTCCAGTAGATTGGAAGGAGGGACAGACAGAAGATGTAGCATTGGGTTAAGTGGTACATACGGTACTTCAGCATTATGGCAGTAATAGCAATTCTAAGATGGGCTGATGTCTGTTAACTGCTTTGGAGAGCTTAACGAAAGAAAATGACAGGCTGTGTGCAGCCGATCATGGCACACTGTGAAAACCGTAAGTCCTCTAGGACCATGTAGCCACAGAGCAAACTGTGCTAAAAATCAGCTACAACAAATAATCATAAGTGTGGCAGAATTATGAAGAAGTCTGCACAGCTTTTGAAACATCACCCATGTCAAAGCCTGGGTCCTAATGGAAAAATAATGGGACCTTGAGGTCCAGCATGTGGACATTTTTGTGGGCATGCCTTGTACTCCTAAGCCCTCAGATTTTTTGTTATCCTCTGTGCCAACAATCTCTTTCCTCCTGATAAAGCAGCCTCTCCTTGTCCAGAAATTCTGCAGGGAATATATCTGAGGCAAGGGCTTCCCAATATAATCTTATTTCCCTCAATATCCACCCCCATTACCTTCATTACCTCAAGCCTGTAACCACAGTCAGATCTCAGCACAGCCTATGCGGGCGTTGGCAATTCCTGCTGTAAGGGTAACTAGACCAGGATTTCTCAGTCTCAGCCCTTATGACATCTGAGCTCGATAATTCCTTGTTGTGGAGGGCTGTCCTGGTATTGCAGGTTATTTATAGCATCCCTGGCATCTCACTACTAGATTCTAGTAGAACGCCTCTAATAATGACAATCAAAAATGTCTCCAGACCTTACTAAACGTCCCCTAGGCATCAAAATCACACCTGGTATAGAACTACTGAACTAGACTAACTCATAAAGAATTGCAAGACTGCTACAACATACCAATGTGAACCAGGGGAATATTGGTGAGAGTGACGATTTAGAGTGTTATACCAGAGGGATCTGGTTATAAGGCTGTACAGGGGAGAATTTATATCAGGGGGCCATTTGCCTGTAATTCTGGATTTAATGTTCCACGAAGTCATCTGGAGTCAGTTCTAATATAAAACCTCGATGTCTTCTTAAAGCTGGATATGATGATGGCCTGTGCTAAATGAGATGTTAGAACAATCCTTTTTTTTTTTATAAATAATGACTCATTTAATCCCCTAATAACCTTATCAGCCCCATGTTATTAGAACAATTCTGAATGAGTATTGAGAAAGGAATCAGAAAACAGAGAAACAGAAATGTTAGAATGAATTTATTGAGGTGTCTGGGTGGCTCAGTCAGTAAGCCTCTGACTTTGGCTCAGATCATGATCACAGGGTCCTGTGATCGAACCCAACGTCGGGCTCCCTGCCCAGCAGTGAGCCTACTTCTCCTTCTCCCTCTGCTCCTCCATTTGTTTGTTCTCTCTCTCTCTCTCAAATAAACAAATAAATAAATAAAATTTCTAAAAAAAGAATAAATTTATCACGTGAGACTAAAGAACCACCACTAGAATGTGTTTCTCAGAAGTAAGGATGTTGGAATGAACTTGTGAAACGAAGTACCCATCGTTTAGATATGCTCTCATAAGGGCTGTAATGCAAGTTACTTAATGCTCAGGTCATTCGTTTGAGCAGATCTCATGGTGCTAGAGGGATCTATGATAGATTTAAAAAAAAAACACAGTTTGACATTTCTGGAAAGCCTCCAGTAAGAGAGTTGCAGTACAGGTCCCTCATGTTCTACAAGGTTATGGTCTCTGAGGCAGAGAACTAGTCCCTGGAAAAACGAGAGCTATTTGTCATGACCTGCATAGGATCAGACCCATCACCCATCAAGTCATAAGCACATGGATACAGCAGGAATGAATGAAGTATGGAAATGGTATAGAATTGAGCCTGAGCAGATCCAGCAGACACAAGTAAAAACTACATGACTGAGTGGATCCGACTCCTGGCACTTACTTCTACAGCAGTGACATCTGTTCATCAACACACTCCTACGTCCTTTTAGGATGTCCCTATGTCCACCTAACACAGAATAAAAAATTTAAACCTGGTTCACAGATGAGTTCGCATATTATGTTGGTAGGGAGACAGGACTGGACTGCTGTTGCTCTATAGCTCCACTCCTCTCTGATCTAGAGAACAGAGGTGAAGGGAAATCTTCCCAGCTGGCAGAGCGTGAAGGATTATTCTTCGTTATTTGCTTTGGAGAGAGAGACAAGTGGCCTGAAATAAAAATCTTTACAGATGTCTAGGTTTTTCTCTCCTGCCTGCAGTGACTCTGCCAATGTCTATGACCACCAGAATTATAATATTCGTGCTCAACATTATCTCAACCAAGGAGACCATTTCACAGCTAAAAACCAAACCAACTGCACGGTGACAATATACACATCACCATGGAATCCACTGATATTGCAATATCCCTCATCGCTCAGTAGCAGCCAGTCTTATGAAAGTAGTAAAATGTCTTGCTACAAACCCAGTTTGTAGCTGCTGGGAGTCGTGGTGTTGTCATAAAAGATGTGGTTAATGCCAAAACCAACCAATAAAGAGTATCTCTGGACACTCAAAGACATGGCTCCAGAAACACAAGAATTGAAGAAGGATTGGCCCATCTTATCAGTGACTTACTTATAGATTTATGCTTCCTAACTCTCAAATCTAGGTTTTGCTAGATAATAATGATTAGTTCTCCAGGGGTTGGGTGGAGGGATATTTCCACCAGAATACACAGCATGGAATTCAGTGAACTTGAAACTCTCACTATTTCTTGGTCACTTCGGTCTCCATTCTTGCCTTCAGTAGGCAGTTTTGAGACTTATCTCATGAAATTTCTGAGAAGGTCTTAAGGGATCAAGAAAACTTTCAAATGTGGTGATAACCAATTCAATAACACATCATTACATTGCCTCTCCCTCTTCCTTCTTTTACTTTCCCTCTCCCTTCTCTTACTCTTGCTCTCTGGGGTCAAAGCCCTAACAAACTTCTGTACACAGATCTTTGTTTCAGCCACTTTTTTGGGGAAAGCCAAGAGGGGAGAGGGGAAAGAATAATTTAATTTTGGACCCGTTAGGTTGAGATGTCTGAAAAGACATGCAAGTGGAGATGTTAGGGAGGTGGTCTGTACCCAAATTTGGAGTTTAAGGAAGAAGTCCAGACTTTTGAAATGCAATTCACTTTCCAGCTTTGAAGAGAGCCACAAACATACAGTTGTTTAAAAAAAAAAGCATAATAGGACAAAAGAGCACATGGAATTGTCACCTAAATAGGGTCCATGGTAAGAGTTCTAGGACTGAACACGAAGGGCCAAATGGGTCCCTCTAAAGATAGGGCTAGATACAGATCCTGCTTTTAAAAGGAAAATAATTTAGTGAAATTGAAAATCATTCCAAGTAGCATTAACTAGAGCATATTAATCTCAGCAGCAAATAGGTCCTTATTAATTCTGAATTTTTCCAACAAATTATTTATTCAGATAAACACTGAAAGATGCTTTACACGGTTATCTTTCTCTTTCTCAGTGACTCCACACCTGAGAGAATTAGTCCCTTCTTCTTTTACAGTCCCATGGTAGTCTCTTTTGTGTTTACTCCACCAAACTATAATTTATCCATGTGTTTCATTCTGTTTCCCCAATCAGAGTGTGCCCTCTTTTTGAATGGAATCCCTGCCTTTGTATCTCTAGCTCCTGACACAATGCCTGGTATAGAGATGGCATTGTTTGTTCAAATAAATTGAATGCACACATAAACGGATCCCTGCAGAATGCCTGCAAAGGACTGTGTTGAGCAGGACCAAAGAAGTCACACCTTTGAATTCCCAGCACACTTATCTCACCTGCACATCTCTTTGGTCCCTTATTTTGTATCTTTTATATGTATTTGCACCTACCAACCTGTGAACTTGTCAGCATAGAATTCACGTCTGAATCACCTCTGCACCTGGGTTAAGGTGCCTGGCATAAAACCAGGATCAGGAACATGCAATATGAATTATCTGCCTGCAAAAGCAACCTCGGCATCATCTGTGCTTCTCAAACTTAAATGTGCATAGGGCTCATTTTGTTAAGATGCAGATTCGGATTCAATATATCTGAAGCGAGCCAGAGAGTCCGCAGTATCTAAAAAAACTTCAGATGATGCCCAAGCAGCTGGTCTGCGAACCACACTTAGACTGTCAAGGTCATCAATTGTTCTCGACTGTAGCTGCATTTTAGGCTCTCCTCGGAAGATACTGAGAGTACTGAAGTCTGAGTCCCGCCCCTCAGAAATTCTGATTTAAGTCATTTAAACTCCCCATGTTGTAAGTAGCAAGGACCTCGGGTTAACAGACCTTTACATATACAAAAAAAGAAAACACTTAATCGGATAGCTTCCTAAATGAAATTGCGGGAAATATCTGAATAAATAACTCTTCTAAAGAGAGTAATAGCACGCAACACCAAATTCCCCGGAGCCAAGGCGGTCTCGGAGCGACAGAGGCCCCGCCCTTGCCTATCCTTGACACGCCCCTCCAGTGGGACCGCGACGGCTTTGCCACGCCCATCACCGCCTCTCCTTCCTTTTCTACGGGGTCGACTTCCGGCGTGGGGTTTGTCACGTGCCCGGAAATGGGAAGTGGTGGCGGAACGGCTCAGGTGACGGGTTCAGGCTAGGAGCGGTGGCCGTTGCGGCCCTGTCCGGTCTCTCTCTTGGAGGACCCGCCTTGGCACGGGCCGGGCTCGGTCGGGCCTTGCGGTAAGCCTTGGGCCGTGGCTGCCCAGTACTTCCGGCGGCGGTGGACAGATTGGCAGACAGGCGGTGCCCGGGTCTGAGGCGGCGCTTCAGTCCCGCTGCTGGCTCCGCGTCCAGGGGCGGGTACCTGTCTCTCCGCCGTCTGGCCTCCCATCCTTTCCCCCTGTGTCTGGGTGAGGCTCAGAGTCCGCTAGGAGCATCCGCCAACTCCTCGTTGTCCTGGGGGCTGGGAGAACAATTCCCACACATCCCTTCCCTGTTTCACCCATAAGAAGCAGGTTTCATTTGTGCAAAATGGCCCTGATCATTCGCTGTTTGGCGCGGACCAGGAGAAAAGGACGTGACAGTGCCGCCTTCTTTGTCCAAATCCACATTTTCTTCTAGATCTCTGAAGCGCATTCTCCGGTCTCTGTGCACAGTTTTCTCTTCTGGATGACAATGCTTGACTTGCTCAGTTGCCTCGATAGCATACAGGGCCCGACCCACGCGGACACTCAGATTGACAAGCTCTTTGTCACGCAGTGTAATGGCCCAGCTGATTTTGAGGAAACAAGAACCCGTACGGAGAACAGTAGCTCACTATTTCTGGAACGTGGTCAGACATGGATTCTTAAACTGGGGAAATAGTTTTATTTGAGGATCTCTAGTGATTTATTCACTGACTTACAGAAAAGTACTCTAAAGACTCGACCCTTGAATGTAAATGCCACTGGGGCACGATGTTCTTGTCTTCCTGAACATGTCTGTCATATTCACCTCTAACGTAGAACAGTGCTTGGCACTTAGTAGGCATCATTTGCTGAATGAAAAAGGGTGGCATAGTGCTTTCCCTTATGCCTAACTCCTTTATGAGGTATAACCAGTCCCCTCTTGCTTTACATATCCCATGCACTCATTGTTGCTTTTGACCTAAGAGGGACTGTGTGGTAAAGGTTGGCCACTATTACTCATTTGACCAGTTTTTACTATTCAGTTCAGGTTACCTCAAGAGGCATTTGCTGAGTACCTGCTAAGCAAGAACACAGAACTATGCCCGAGCACCTTCTCCTCTTTCTCTCTTCTTTCAAGAGCATTCTTGAGATCTACAAGCTGATGGTCTCATGAATCAATTGGACAGCAAGTGCTTGATTATTTAGTAAATACAGAAAGTGCTCTAGCAATTGAGAGGAGAGATCGGTTTGGATTAAAGTCATTATTGAATCCATTCACATAAACCATGAAGTGTAATTAGGGTTTGGATGGATGATATTCCCTGCATGGAAAAGCACTAAGCAAAGATGCAAAGACTGCGCTGAGGGCTTGGACCGGAAGATCTGTATTTGGGAACCTTGGGAAAATGTTGAGCAGGGGCATGTTGTGATGAAAGCTATGTTTTAATATTATTTGTTTATACAGGGTTTGGGGATTGTGGAAACTTGCAGAGAGATAACCAGATACTGAAGTGTTAAATGGATATAGTTGGTGTGAACCTGGGTTTAGTGTGGTAGCAATGAAAGGAAGGGTAAACTATATGTAGATGAGGGGAAATCAGCAGAACGTGGCAGCAGATTTCATGTTGACAAAGGAGAATAAAATAAGACAGATTTTGAACTCAGACATTCGCTTACAGATGTGAGAGTTGGAAAAGGGAAATCAGGGAAACTATTGTTGTCGTGTCATTTGGTGCTATCATTTTTGCTTAATTTTGAAATGCCTGCTATGTCTTTGCCAAATTCTAGGAATATGAAGATGAAGAAGATATAGTCCTTTCTTACAAAGAGCTATCTTTAATGGGAGATAGAATACAACTAATGAGAAAACAGGGTTTGTGTTATGTTAGCAGAGTAGAGGTGAAATGTTTGAGAAGTATAAAATGATTATTCTCTTTATGCGTGTCACTACCTCACAGAAGAGTTGATATTTTAGTGGGATCTTGAAGAATGAGTTGGAGCTTCCTGGGGTGGGGGGGCGGGAGGGGGAGAATTCCAGGAAAAGGAAATTGCATGAACCAAGCGCAGAGATAGAGAAAAAAAGTGGCCATTATCCAGAGTTAATTTCCTAAGCAAGTTCACATGTATGAAATAGCACACATTTGCATTGGAAAATAGTAATATGTATATACACATAAATATATATATTTAAAAATAAAGTTGAAAAGAGATTTTTAAAAATATTTAGCCTAAGTTGATATTTGAAAAAAGGTATTGAATTTAGTGAGAAAAAGGAGTTAAGTGGAAACCTTTTTCTTTATAATAGCTTTATTGAGATATAATTCATATGCTATAAAATTCACCCTCTCAAGTGTATAATTCAGTAGTCTTTATTGTATTTACAAGGTTATATAACCATTTACTACTATCTAATTCAAGGACATTTTCATCACCCCAAAAGAAGCCCCATACCCATTACCAGTCCTTCTTGCTCCTTAACCCTGGCAACCACAGATCATTTTGTCTTTATGGATTTGTCTAGTCTGGACATTTCATGTAAGCAGAATCATAAAATATGTGGTCTTTTAACTGGCATCTTTCACTTAGCATAATGTTTTCAAGTTTCATCAATGTTGTAGCATATATCAGTACTTCGATCCTTTTTATGGCCAAATAATATTCCACTGTGTAGATATACTTCATTTTGTTGTATCAGTTCATTAATTAGGGAATATCTGAGTTGTTTCTACTTTTTGGCTATTGGGAATAATGCTGCTAGGAACATTCACGTACAAGTTTTTGTGTGGACATATATTTTCATTTCCCTTGAGTATATACCTAGGGATGGAATTGGTGGGTCATATAGTAATTTCATATTTAACCTTTTGAGGAACTGGCAAACAGTTTTTCCAAAGTGGCCGCGCCATTTTACGATCACCAACAATGTATGAAAGAGTTCTTTTTCTCCACATCTTTACCAATACTTGTCTTTTTATTTTAGCCATTCTAGGGGGTGTAAAGTGGTAGTTAGCACATTTGGTTTTGGTTTGCATGAGCATCTTTTCATGTGCTTATTGGCCATTTGTATATTTTCTTTGAAGAAATGTCTAATCAGATCCTTTGCTCAGTTTTTAATTGGGTTATTTGGTTTTTTATTGTTAAGTTGTAAGAGCTCCTAATATAGGAAATTTATATGTTAAGGTTGAGCATAGGTTTTTGTTTTTTGTTTTTTGTTTTTTTTCTTAAAAAATTTTTTTGTTATCATATGGGTAGCATTTCAAAGATTATGGAATTTGATAATGCTGGTTCTCTAATTTCTTTTCCAATCATAACGACTTTTTATTTTTATGATGTTGGTATGTTGATGTATGAAATCATCCTTCCTATGCTTACTAGCCATAAATAAGATAATTTTTAAAATCATAAATGGAACAATATGAGATAGAATGATTTTGAGAATGAGCTTAATATCAATACTCTCAATTTTTTTCAGCTGATTAAAAATGACAGCAATCAAGCATGCATTACAGAGAGACATTTTTACACCAAATGATGAACGCCTGCTGAGTATTGTCAATGTCTGCAAAGCAGGAAAAAAGAAAAAGAACTGCTTTTTGTGTGCCACAGGTGGGTGTTTAGTAAGAAAAAGCTCTTGTTTGGCATTCTTTTATTGTTTATTACCCAGGGGACTTTCCCCCTTGTTTTTAATATTCTCATTGTCTCAGGATGTCTGGATGGCTCAGTTGGTTAAGTAACTGCCTTCAGCTCAGGTCTGATCCCAGGGTTCTAGGATTGAGTCCCGCATTGGGCTCCATGCTCAGCAGGGAGCCTGCTTCTCCCTCTGCCTGTCATTCCCCCTGCTTGTGCTCTCTCTCTGACAAAATAAATAAAATCTTTAAAAATATATATATTCTCACTGTCTCTATAATTGGAAAAACTGTTGGGCCAACAAATTCATTTTTAAAATTGTCTTTAATTAAATATTGAGTAGTTACAACAGAATCTATATTATATATATAAGATGCAAAGACTAACCATACAGGGAACACTCACGTGCTTACCACCCAGTGTAAATAGAATATTACCATTACCTTTGAAGTGTCCTGTGCACCCTTCCCTAATCCCATTCTCTTCCCTCACTCATTAAGAGGTAACTAGTATCCTGAATTTGGGTTCAATCTTTCCTTGCTTTTCTTTATCATTTTACTATATTTGTTTATAGTCTCAAATAACATATTGTTTAGTTTTGCCTGTCTTTGAAATTTACATGAATTGAATCATAGTGCATGTATCCTTTTCTGACTTTTTCCACTCAATATTATGTTCATGTTCATGAGTTTAATTTCTGTTTCTTCACATAGCAATAATTCTTTCATTTTCACTCCTATGGAGTGTTCTACCCTGTGAGAGTAGCAGTTTACTTACGCATCCCACTAAAGAAGAACATTAGGTTTGTTTTCAGGTTCAGACAGCACTTCTGTGAACATGTTTGTCCATGTGCCCTCATGTATACAGGCAAGAATTTTCTAGGGTTGATACTAAATGTAAAATTGCTGGGTCATAGGCATGTAAGTGTTCAACACTACTCTAATACCAAACTATTTTCACAAGTAATTACACTGGTTTTCAAGCCCACAAGCAGTGTGTGTTTGGAGTTCTTTCTCTATATCCTAGTGAAAAGTTGGTTTTGACATTTGGTTTTGACAGGCTTAATTGATTCCAATCTGGTGGAAATGGTATGTAAAATAGTACTTATTGTGGTTTTAAATTTCATTGCCCTATTAATGATGAAATTAAACATCTTTTCATGACTTTATTGGCCATTTGGTTTCCTTGTCTTAGAAATTTGCCTTAAAGCCTTCTGCTCATTTCTCTGTTGTGTTGATTGTCCTTTTACTGATTTGTACAAGTTCTATATATTTAATAATCCTGTGTTGGTTATATGTATCCCAGTATGTAGCTTGTGTATTAGCTTTTTGATACTTTTTAATGAAATTTCTAATTCTAATGAGATCTCATTAATCAGTCTGGTCCTTTATGGCTTCTACCTTTTTATCTTATTTAGGATATGTTCCCTAGAAGGGCACCTCTTGGTTGGCTGAGCATTTGACTCTTGATCTCAGCTCAGGTCTTGACCTCAGGGTCGTGAGTTCAAGCCCCACATTGGGCTCCATGCTGGGTGTGGAGCCAAATTTAAAAAAAAAAAAGATAAACTTCCCTGGAGTAGCAAAAGTATTCTCCTATACTGTATTCTTAAAGTTTTATAATTTTGCCATTCACATTCTGATATTTAATTTACCTGTTTCCATGTTTGTAGTAATGAATATGAGTGTGCCTGTTTCTTGGTTCTCTCCTGTATCTGGTTTTTATTATGTCTTGTTTTGATTCTTCATTCTTCTACCTAAATTTTAGAATCCACTTGGCAACTGGCAGATTTTCTTTGGATTTTAATTGGAATTGTTTTAAATATGTAGTTCAGTTCAAAGAGAACTTGTATTTTCATGATACTGAGTCTTCTTTTTTTTTTTTAAGATTTTATTTATTTATTTGACAGAGAGAGAGAGAGAGATCACAAGTAGGCAGAGAGGCAGGCAGAGAGAGGAGGAAGCAGGCTCCCTGCTGAGCAGAGAGCCCGATGTGGGGCTCGATCCCAAGACCCTGAGATCATGACCTGAGCCAAAGGCAGAGGCTTAACCCACTGAGCCACCCAGGCGCCCCGATACTGAGTCTTCTTGTCCATGGACATGGTATAGTTCTCCATTTACCTTGGTCTTCTTTAATGCCTTTCAGTAAGTTTTACAGTTTTGGAGTGCCTGGGTGGCTCAGTGGGTTAAAGCCTCTGCCTTCGTTTCAGGTCATGATCGAGCCCCAATTCGGGCTCTCTGCTCAGCGGGGAACCTGCTTCCTCCTCTCTCTCTGCCTGCCTATCTGCCTATTTGTGATCTCTCTCTGTCAGATAAACAAAGAAAATCTTTAGAAACAAAATATTAAAAAAATAAAATAAAAGTTTAAAAAATAAGTTTTACAGTTTTAAAGGCTTTCAATAATTTTGCACATACGTTGTTTTATTCCTAGATTTTTTGATACTATCATAAAAAGTTATTAGCACTAATATATCTTTAAGACTTTAATTATTTTTTAAGATTTGTTTATTTATTTGTCAGAGAGAGAGAGAGAGTGTGCACACAACCAGGAGAAGCAGCAGGCAGAGCAGGCAGAGGGAGAAGCAGGCTCCCAGCTGAGCAAGGAGCCCGAGGTGGGACTCAATCCCAGGACCCTGGGATCATGACCTGAGCCCAAGGCAGACGCTTAACCCAACTGAGCCACCCAGGCATCCAAGACCTTAATTTCTTAGAGCAGTTTTAGGTTTACAACAAAACTGAGGAAGGAAGTACACAAATATCCCCTACCCTACATATGTGTAGCCTCCCCCTTTATCAGTACCACTGGCAACAATGGCAACAGTTAGCAAGAATGAACTTACATTGACATATTGTAATCATCCAAAGCCCATAGTTTACCTTAGGGTTTACTCTTGGTGGTGTTCATTGTATGGGTTTGGACAAATGTATGATGAAATATATCTACCATTGTAGTATCATACAGAGTATTTTCACTGCCCTAAAAATCCTGTGTGTTCTGCCTTTTCATCTCTCACCCAACCCCTACCCTTTCAACCACTGTTCTTTTTACTCTTTGCATGGCTTTGCCTTTTCCAGGATATCATATCGTTGAAATCGTACAATATGTAGCCTGCTCAGTGTGGCTTATTTCACTTAGTAGCATACATTTACGTTTCCTGCATGCCTTTTTATGGCTTGATAGCTCATTTCTTTTTAGCATTGAATAATATTCCATGCCTGGATGTACCACAGTTTATCCACTCACCTATGGAAGGATATCTCAACTGTCAGTTGGACAGTTATGAATAAAGCTGCTCTAACCACCCATGTGTGGATTTTTGCATGGACATAAGTTTTCAGCTCCTTTGGGTAAATACCAAGGACTGCGATTGCTGGATCATATGGTGAGAGTATCTTTAGTTTTGTACGAAATCACCAAACTTTCTACCAAAATGGCTGTATCATTTTGCAGCCAGCAATGTTTGAGAGTTCTTGTTGCTCCACATTTTTGCCAGTGTTTGGTGTTGTCATGTTCTGGAATTTGGCTGTCCTAATAGGTGTATGGTGGCATCTCGTTTTAATTTCCATTGCCTTGATAAAATATGGTGTTGAGTATTTGTTCATATGCTGATTTGTTATCCATATACCTTCTTTGGGGAAACATCTGTTAAGGTCTTTGGCCATTTTTTAATCAGGTTTTTTGTTTTCTTATTGTTGAGTTTTAAGAGTCCTATGTATAGGGGCACCTGGGTGGTACAGTCAGTTAAAGGTCCAACTCAGTTTTAGCTCAGGTTGCAATCTTAGGGTTGTGAGATGGAGCCCATGTCAGCTCTGCACTCAGCACTTAGTCTGCTGAAGACTCTTTCTTCCTCTGCCCCTCCCCTACCATGTGTGCAGGTGCTCTCTCTCAAATAAATCTTTAAAAAAAAAAAAAAAAGAGTCCTTTGTATATTTTGGATAACATTCCTTCATTAGATGTGTCTTTGGCAAATATTTTCTTGCAGTCTGGCTTGTCTTCCAATTCTCTTGATGTTGTCTTTTACAGAGCAGAAGCTTTTAATTTATTGAACATTAGTATATTTTAAAAATCATTTATTAGAATCTGGAAATACAGTTGGTTTTTTATATGGATTTCTTTATCAATCTTGCTAGACTTTCTTATTAATTCTGATTATTTGCCCACAGACTCTAAGTAGTGATACTGTCTTCCTTCCTTTATAGTCTTTATTTTTTTTTTAAAGATTTTATTTATGTATTTGACAGAGAGGGATCACAAGTAGGTGGAGAGGCAGGCAGAGAGAGAGGGGGAAACAGGCTCCCTGCTGAGCAGAGAGCCTGATGTGGGGCTCGATCCCAGGACCCTGGGATCATGACCTGAGCTGAAGGCAGAGGCTTTAACCCACTGAGCCACCCAGGCGCCCCAATAGTCTTTATATTTTTTATTTATTTCTGTTGCTTTAGTCTGCTGGTTAGGACCATCAATACAGTGTTGATCTCCAAAGGAATGGTTTCACTTTTTAGTATAATTGCTATTGGGTTTTTTACAGTGCAAAGGAAGCTCCCTTCTATTCTTGACTTTTCTTTTTGGGTTTTTATCATTGAAAGGATGTTCAATTTTATCAAATGCTTTTTCAGATCTTTGAGATTATCATATACTTCCTTAATTTATTAGTGTGGTGAGTAATTGTTCAAATGATAAATTGAATTCTTGGAATGACATAACTCAGTCATGATGTACTAGATACCATCAATTATATCATATATTATTTTACGTACCATTTAAAAAGTGCTATGATATTACATCAATTGTTAAGACATACTCTGATTTCAGAAATATTAAACTGTGGAAAAAAGTGTACATCTCAGAATTGTTGAAATGAAATACTGCCTTTTGTATATGCCCTTGGATTAAGTTTGCCAGTGCAGTATTTGTTTGTAGTTACTTGTATATTTGTAGTTGTAAGATTTTTCACCCATGTTCATTAATGACACGGTCCTGCAATTTTCTTTTATACACTGTCTTTGTCCTTACAACCAAAGCAATAAAGTAAGTTAGGAGTGTTTCCCTGTTTTCTGTACAGTGCAATAGTTACGTATGTTTGGAATGTTTCCTTGGAAAACTTGGCAAAAGATACCAGTAAACCTGTGTTGGACTAGGTTTTGGGGAAGAGATTTTTCTCTTACTAATGCACTTTCTTTAATACAAAAGATTTTCCGTATTTTCTGTTCTTAAGTCAGTTTTGGTAAGTTACATTTCTTAGAGATTCAACCACTTCATGTAAATTTTTAGATGTACTGGCATTCACTCCTATCCATCCACTATTCTGCTGACACAGTAGTTTTTAGAAACAAATTAGAGCAGTTCATTTCCCTAATTAAAGTCCTCTAAGAGCACTCCACAACCTCAGATGAAGACCCTTCGTGATCTGAACTTTCACCTTTTTTTGTAACTTCATTTCCATCCACTTTATTGCATAAACAATCCATATTGAACCACTTAGCACTGTTCTGAAATGGTATTAGGCTCTTTCAAGCCCCTTGGCTTCACTTAGGTCAGTCATTCTTTAGGGCTCATACTGTTCTTTCAAAACTGGTCTGAAGCTTTGCTTCTCAAGGAATCTGGCTCTGACCCTTTTGTCTGATTTAGATGTTCCCTTTGATGCTCTGTGCATTCCTCAGTCGTGGCATGTATCGGGAAATACCACTCCTGTTCTAGTACCGTGTACAGGCACCTGACAGCTGTATTTGCAATGAGTGGATGAATGGGTGAAGAATAAGAATATTTCTGATGAAAGTGTGTTTTATTCAACAGTGACAACTGAACGCCCTGTGCAGGTGAAGATGGTCAAAGTCAAGAAATCTGATAAAGGAGATTTCTACAAAAGGCAGATTGCTTGGGCCCTTCGAGACCTTGCTGTGGTAGATGCCAAGGATGCTATTAAAGTATGTTTTTCTTAGTGCTTTGACCTGTGTTCAGAAAGTGTCTTTCATTTTCTAACGTAGTACTCTGTCTTCTAAGATGATCTAAACTTCTTGTTTTATAACCCTCTCCTCTACCAACTCACCAAGAATTAGTCTAAAGTGTATTATTAAACCTTCCATTCTCCCACTCTTCAGTCTCACACTACTAAAATAAATCTGTATGCATGTGGTTTCATTGTTTTTGCTTTTTTTTTTTTTTGAGCTGTAGTTATGTTTGTGCACAACTTACATACACTGGAGCAAAATAACTATATATTTTGGTGTTTAGGTTAGGTATATTTAATATAAAATCCACATATTAGTACACATTTGTAAAGTGTTGTGAGTAGTTTTTTTTAAAAGCCTTCATTGTTCTGATAAAACCTAGTTCAACATCATGTGTAATGCTATAACCAAAGTGAGTCTTCCTTAGTTTGTCTTCACAAATTAATGTAGAATTATCAGCAGAGGCAACCAGGCTGGCCTTTGAGGCCATGGTTTCAAAGTTGTGGCTCAAGTAAAGGAAGTGATGGTGAGTTACAACCCTTATTTTAAGGAACTTAAAGAATAAGATACAAGAATGTAAATACCTATACTTTTCCCTGAAGCCACACTCAAACTTTAAGAAAATTAAATAATGTAATGATCGTGTTAAAGGACCATGTTTATTTTTGACAAGTCCAGGCTTTTCACAGCAATACCCTTTTTTCAGAGAAATTAAGTAGTGCTCCTCTGGTGAAATTAGGTGCTCCTTCCCCCTCAGCCTCTCTCACCCTGCCCCTCATCTTCCTTCTGCAGGAAGGTTTTGCATCACACCCACTTGTGATGGGGCCGATAGCAAGGCTTAATAAATGTAACTGCACGTGCCCTTTGACTGAACCCTTCAAGTCTCACACATTCACTTCAAAGACACAAAGAAGTAGAAGCTACCTTTGTAGAATAATCCAATAAAATAAAAGTCTCATTTCACCCTTATCCTGGTACAGACCTCTGAGGAACTAAAGGCTGGACAAAATGACAGGCTGTTGAGTTGAGTGTGAAATACTTTTTAAATGAAGCAAAAACAACTTAGGAGTGCTTTGCATGACCAAAATACACAATTCAGAATTCAGATTTCTAACAAAGGTGGTGAATGCCTTTCTAGAAGTTTTTTAGGCACACTGGGTTGCAGCTTTATCCCTAAGGGGTACCCAAAGCACTTTAATAACTTATTTAATATATTCTGTTACCATGGGAAAAGAGCAAGAATAGAGACTTTTTTGCTAGGTTTCTATTTAAGAGAAAATACAGTAAGAGCTTTTTAGAAATGTGTCTTTATTAAAGAGGCTTTTTCCTTCAATAGTTTTGCACTTGATAAGCTCACTGACTTGCATAATTCACTAACATTGCTGATGCTTATCTGCATGCTTTCTCACAGCTGATGCCTCCTATTGCTGGCTTTCTTAATGGATATTATTGTTTTTTTCATTTTATGTAGGCACCTTGGCGTGTGCACCCTATATATGGATATAAAACATAAAATTTTTAAACATAGCCTAACATTAGCCATTTAGTGTCACACATTGATCTGTGTGAGTGTTGCCACTGGAGCACTCAGCTTCTTTTATGGCATTATGGGAAGTATTCCCAGGGAAATGATCATTTCCCATCAAGTTTTAGATTAGTTGCCAATACTCTTAGATTTTTTTTTATAAGTAATACAATTACCTTTTTATTGGAAATGCAGATTTTTAGTCTTCTGATACATCAGTTCTGCTTATTGAGCTAATTAGTAGTTCCATGCTGCCTTTATGTGATTGTTGTACCAGGTCAAGTCCTGATCCCTAAATTATCCCCACTCTTCACAGTGGAAGTCTGATATCATCTCCTTTACCCTGGAGGCGATTATTTACACTCCCCCACCCCAAAATGACACTTTGAATGAATCGGATATACTAGTAGCCTTCCGTAGGACATTAAGAACATTTGAATCTATTTTTAATTCCTCCGATGTGAAGAAGAGCATACATCTATATGGTTTCGTGTTTTAGATAGCAGTCAAGTGATTCTGCATTCAGTGGGAAATATTAGCCTGGTACGAAATCACTGCTGCAAGCTGGCTGAAGAGACAGGGAGCGGACTGCACTTCTCCCACAGGTTGAGCTTCTTGGTCGTTCGAAAGAACTTCCAGGCTAGCCAGCATTTTTTAATTTTTGAGGCACCTTTGATCTTTCTCTGTTTGCAGAATTGAAGACAGAATCAGTCCCTGCTTTCACCTCTTTTGTTCTTGGGAACCACACCAGGGTGTAGAATGTATTTCTTATATGTTATAATTAGAAGACCTATTCTTTATGAAGGAGTTAGTGTCAGATCACAGTTAGGAATAATCGTGCATTATCATCAAAGAAGAGGTATAGCTCTAAAACCCCAGAGGCGGTTAAAAAAGAAAAAATAGGTCCACGTCAAAACTGGAGACCATTGTCATCTTATAGACCAGGAAGCTTGGCCACAAGGCTTTTACCTAGACATCCTATACTTCTACTCATATACCTAAGGGGCATAGGAAGGAAAAGACCGAAACACTGTGTTGTTTTTTTTATCCAGCTTCTTTTGGGAGGTAAAGTTTTTCCTATAAATTGAATTCTCTGAACTGTTCTCTGTAAGTCACTTAGCTGATGTTTAATGGTGATTTTTTTTTTAAAGAACAACTTCTTTTCATTTTATAGAAATATAGACTTCATAATAATGCAAAAGGGATCTGATCCAAAACAATATCTTTTGTGTATTTTTATTTCAGGAAAATCCTGAATTTGATTTACATTTTGAAAAAATATATAAGTGGGTTGCCAGCAGCACTGCTGAAAAGAATGCATTTATTTCATGCATTTGGAAATTAAATCAGCGATATCTCCGGAAGAAAATCGATTTTGTCAATGTTAGCTCACAGCTCTTGGAAGGTAAAGTTAAATAAAAATGCTTATGTGAAATCAGTATTTCTGTAAGTGAATGTATAATTTGACATTACTCAAAATGATTAGCTTACTGATTTACCTTAAATTGCAGAGGAGTTGAAAAATAATTTTTCTTGTTGCAGAAATGATACTTGCTCATTATAGAAATTGATACATTAAACTAAATAAATAAAAATCACTTATAAACTTAATCTTCAGATAACTGCTGTTGATGTTTTGTTAGACGTTCTTCCAGTCTTTTTTCTATGCATATTTAAAAACTTTTTTAAAATTCACATTCTGTTTTCTAACTTACTTTTTCTTATAATGAGCATTTTTCTTATAATGAACATTTTTCATGTTATTAAATACTTAACCCAACATTATTGTTAGTAGTACCATAGTATTCCATTATATGAATATATCTTATTTTATTTAACTAATCATTTATTTTAAAATTTCCAGTCTTTGCTTACTTTAAATAATTTTGACATGAATATTCTTGTAGTTGTATTTTTGTGCAGAGTGTAAGTGTAGTGGTTAAGAACATAACTCGAGTCACACTGCTTGGTTTCAGATCCTGGCTTTGTCACTTACCAGTCATGTGACCTTGGATTATTCTATGTTTCCGTTTTCTTTATCTCAGAAATAGTGATAATCAGTAGTATCCACCTCATAGGATTGTTGTGAGGATTAAATTATTTGATATATGGCAGTGATGAGAGTAGTGCCAGGTGTATAATAAGTACTCAACAAATATTAGCTCTTATTATCTTATCAGGATAAAATCCTTAGACATGAAGTTAAATAGGATATTTTTGATCAGTATATCCTTAGGGATGTTACTATGGATTATTTTGTGTTAGAAGATGAAAACTTATTTATTAAAAATTCACAATGAAATGTTATTCCTTTAAAATTTCTTTCATAAAGACATAAACATTGTAAGAAAATGATTCTGTATGCCTTGTGGATACAATTTGTGTTGTATTCTTTATCTCAAAGAAAGCAGTTGAAATAACAGCTAGTATGCAGAAGAATAGAGTTGTTGCTCCTCTTTATTAATAAAAAAAACCAGATTTATTCCAAATAATATATATTAGTAAGAAAACTTAGATTTGTCCTAAGTTGTATATTAGCATTTTAAAATAGGAGCTTTGTTCTGTTCAGTTAAAACATCTGAAATAGCCAATATTCAAACATTTTGACCTATAAACATGGTGTTTCAGATGCTTCAAACTATTTGCTCAGCCACTTGCCTCTGTCCTTTCTCTATTCTGTTTTACTTGCTCCTTTTCTGTTTGCCTGTGGATATTTCCCTGAAATATAGTATTCCTTCCCAGCACTTAGTAATTAGTAAGCCCGTTATTGGTTTCAGGTTTGATGCTCTGCTGGCAGAGGCAAGTCCCATCTGTCAGGCCCTGTGCTACTTCCCCCGGTGAAGCCCTTGCGTAGCCCTTGGGGTCACCATCTCACCAACATTAGATCCCAGTGTCTTGTCAATTGAGTATATTGAGGGAATGACCTTAAAGAAATTGATGGTAATTTTTCATGCCTTGAATAGTGGTTTAATTTGTTTTGAACAGCTTTTATTTTATTTATTTACTTTTTTGCCATTTCAGGGTTGAACATTTTATTGAGGGAATGATTGCCATTCTGTCTTTAAATATTGTGTATTTCCAGATGTTATTTATTGCCTACGACATGTTTTAAACCAATACATTTCATTGAGTCATGGGAAAATACCTGGTTTTCTCCTCATTAAGAAATATTATCTGTTTTCCCTCATTAAGAAATATTACCATAATCAATAAAAAGAGTTGCTGTTTTTTAGAATGAAATGTCTAGCTTAAAAAAAAAGACATTTAATTTTTTAAGGCCTAAAGCAAAAAATGTAGACATTTTCATGTTTATAGAAGTTATAAGTTCAGACCAATTTTAGGTGTACTGCGAAGATCCTTAAGGATCTCACTATTAATATCATTTTCCATAAATCAATAACTGTTGCTTTGGTTTAGAGGAGTCCAGAGAGTAGTTTTCTTAATGTCTGCAAATTTGTGTTAATGTTTTAATGGATTTTGAAATCATAGCAGTTGATTCCCATTTAGAAAAAAACAATAAATGTATCTAAGTTTTGGGTGATGTTAGAAAACAAGTAAGAAATTATCACCATATACTTTTAAGAGATAAGTAATCATCCAAGTAATACTTCACTGTGAATGCTAACACTGGCATCTTTAGTAGTTTTTATTGGTGACAATTGAATGTTTACGCTAGTAAGTAGGGTTTCTCAGCAGAAGGCTTTTAAGGTTTTTAAAGGAGGATTTTTGTTAGCAGTCGAAGTAGAGTCAGGTTTTTGTTTGGCTTTTTCTTTTTCATTCTTATAACCATATTTTAAAAAAGAAATCTTTGACTTGAATCCTTAAAAGCCAGCTTGAACAGATATCTCGTGTGTTGTGGTTTGTTTTTTTTTAATTATTTCAATCTCGTCCTTTCTAACAGTGTTTTATGACTAATCTATTATGAGGGAGTGTCTGGGTAAAGTTTTGGGGCCTTGAGTGAAAATAACTAGACTAAATGCATGAGTCACAGCTGACCTAAAAATAATTCTCAGGAAGTGATCTATTTCCCAGTTTTCTCCAAGGACTAGTTGGTGCTGTTTCTTAAAAGAAAGGAAAAACTAGGAAGATAAATGTATTTTTAGTCATTGTCAGAAAAAGAATAAGAGAGTTAACTTTGGAAATTTAGTTTCTGAGGATCTTTCCATCTTGTACTTGATTTGGACATTGTCTTTTAAACTTTGATGTACCAGAAGTTCAAATGAAATATGGGTAGTATTTAAAAAATTTTAAACCTGTATACTTTTCTACCCAGCTAATATTCTTTGCTTACTTTCCTCTGCTTTTTTCATACCTTTTTACTCTCCAGAACTGCCTAAAGTTACAGAAGGTGCGTAACACCTTTTCTTTTTATTCTATTCCATATATATTTTATTACTTGCCATTGTTATGTACTGTTGGTTGCATATTTTATGAAATTGTGCATAGGGACAGGTTTATTACCACAAAATCCATATAGTAATAAAATTAATGATAGGATTCATTATTGACTTTCAAAGGACTGTGTTTCATGGAAGAAAAAATACTTCTGAAGCAGTTATGGTCGTTTAAAATATTTATTTATTTTAAATATCTGCTTGTGTAAGGAGCCGTATAGTTTGGGGCAGTCCCTGCCCCCTGGTGGCTAATAACTGTCAGATGTGACAATTTGACATTTCCAGAGTGAGCTAAAATGGACTTGTTCAAAGGACAGGGAACTAGGTGATACCTGTCTAAAGAACTATTCATATACTGTAATCTGTAATTGCCTGTACCAAGAGTTTTATTAATTTTATTCCCCTCCTTTTTTATTCTGGGATATTATCTAAATCTGCCTAATTATCATTCATAAATCATTTATTACTTTGAGTTAGTTGGTTTTTTCCTAGAACAAATTAACCTATGTCAAGTCATGCAGCCTGTAAATGTTTCATTTGCATACAAAATAATGAATAGTTAAAGTGTCCAAAGATTGTGATTTAAATCATGTCTCATTAAGTTTATGAAAATCAATAACTTTATTTAGAGTTTTAGTTAGGGGATAAAAAAAATTTTTTTTTCATGTTACCTCTCCTAACCTCACACTTTATATAAAATCCCACAAGCTAAGTATATTTTCTCAAAAAATTGAATTGAAACAAAAAATTGAATTGAAACACTTATCCGGAAACAACTTACATTTGACCTCTTGGTCTTTTGTAAGAAGCATGAAGACCATTTAAGTATTTGTAATTTTGAATAGCCATGTTATTGTTGCTCTTGTTACTCTAGACTTACTGAGAAAACTTTTATACCTGATCTTTAGAAATTTTATCAATGCATATGAAAGTGTTTTAAACAAAGAAATGGAAAATTCAGTTAATGTTTTTAATACCCAAAATAAATTGTGAATACATTTTTCATTTCAACTAAAAGTTATTTGGAGAAAAAAGCATAACCAGGACAAAAAAAAAAAAAAAAAAAAAAAAAAAAACGGAAGAAAAATGTTACCGGGGGGGAAGAAGGAAAGCAAATTATTTTTTATGTGCCCTAAATTCATAGTCAATGTTTTGTTAGACTAACAACCACCTCAGATAGGAAAAAAAGATTAGGCTGTTCCCACATAGTTTGTTTCTGGTTTTGTATTTGTTTTCATAGTTTAAGAATGTTTTGGGGAATTGTTATAAAGCCTATTTTAACACTTAAAAGTGAGTGAATTAGACTGCATGTTTGTGTTTGTTAAAGTAAATGTTATAGTAAAAAATATATTAACATATGCAGTTTTTCATAAAAATAAAGTTTTTTTAATATTCTGAATCATTCTTTCCTATTTTCCAGCCACTAAATGTGACCTGTGCTTATAACTGACTATAAATACCATGTTATTGTCCTTCCTCCTTTTTTACTACTTTATTTTTAATTTTTACCCTCTTTAAGAGTCTGTTCCAAGTGGAGAAAATCAGAGTGTGACAGGAGGTGATGAAGAGGTAGTAGATGTATACCAAGAGTTAAATGCAAGAGAAGAGCAGGATATTGAAATAATGATGGAAGGCTGTGAATGTGCAATCTCTAATGCTGAGGCCTTTGCAGAAAGGTTGTCCAGAGAGCTGCAGGTGCTGGATGGGGTAAGACCTTTTTATAATCTGTAAATGACTGATATGTAGTGGATTGAGAAGACCAGGGATGTGCAGATTTTACTTCCTCAGCACCTAAGCCTTTATACTGTGATTATTGCTGTCTCTTTCCATAAGCGCATTACCGGATGCCTTATCTTCTACTGCTCTTGTTCAAAAGACAGAACCATTCCTGTTAATCAGGCCAGCGAAGGCAGTTGGCTGAGGTTGGGGATTGGGGGAGGTTCTTGACACAAAGTGATGGAAAAAAAATAGCCAACCAGAAACTGACTTGGGGTCGCCTCCCCCCAGCCTCTGAAATACCGCAGAATAGTTCAGTGCAAAAGAATAGCATTTTTGTGTTTCGGGGGGAAAAAAAAAAGTACAAATTATAAATAGAAAAATTAGTTTGAAATAAGTGAATCGTGTGCCCAAACGGAGCAGAATAAGTATAGTGAAAACAAGGAGCCAGGGGAAAAGGATGTTTGGCTCTCCTGCTAAAATGTTTTGGGATAGCTCTTTTTAATTTGTATGCACAGTTTCTGAGTCTAGAAACTAAAGCACATCTTTAGAAAGTAAAAAGCTAAAAGACAGCTAAAAATAACACCACTAATGTCAGTAAAGTCTAGAATAAGAACGTGTTTTTTGTTTTGTTTAGACAAAGTAAGCATTTAAGAAAAACCTCAAATTTGAGAGGCAGGGAGGGGGGTTGTGGGGGGGCAGGGAAGGAAAAAATGAAACGAGGGGATTGGGAGGGAGACAAACCATAAGAGACTCTTAATCTCACAAAACAAACAGGGTTGCTGGGGGATGGCGGGGTAGGGATAGGGTGGTTGGGTTGTGGACATTGGGGAGGGTATATGTGCTATGTTGAGTGCTGTGAATTGTGTAAAAGTGATAATTCACAGACCTGTACCCCTGGGCAAATAATACGTTATATGTTAATAAAAATAATTTTTTAAAAAACCGTCAGAGAATGAAGAATATTTTAAACACTTAAAGAATTTTGACATATTATACATGAAAGTTGCAGAATTTATGAGGTTGAACTCAGGCCCTGAGATTACACAAACAGTGCAAGTTTACAAGTTTATAAAATTCACCGGAAGCTAAGCCTAGAAGAAACTTAAAGATGTTACAGTGGAAATTGTCCTGGACAAGGTCAAGCCCCGGGTCTGCTTCTTGAGAGATCTATTAAGTGGCCCAGAGCCCTGCTGACTCTTGCGGTTGGGTTGCACTCACAGTTGAGTTATTATGAATAGCATACAAAATATGTGTGAAATTACAGTATCTACTGTCCTGTGAAATTCTTTTCATTCCTAGGCCAAGTTTTTTCCTCATACCCCATTACCTGCCTTCTTAGTGTGGCTTAGTGATTTATAATTTCTTTTCTAATAAATATTGCATGTATGTTACAAGTTATCACATTGCTTCCCAGTTTTATTTTGGATTTGACAGCTTCCATATTTCAGGAAATTTAGAATCAATAGTCAGAATCACTTAGAAAACAATGATAAGGGGATGGTGGTTTGTTCCTGCTTTGCCTGGAAAAAAAACGTACAGTAGTTGCAAATGAAAGAGAAAAGAAAGAAGACAATAGAAGGAGCTTTCTTATGGATATATAGTCTGTGGCCATATGGTCTTATGGTCACGGCTCTTCCACATCACGTAAGTACCAATTATACTACAGTTTTACATTAGTTCAGTGTATCCTTCAAAGACTGATATACCACTGCTACCCTCTTGATTAAAGTATTACACCAGTGATTAGGCATATTTTTTTTAGCATTTTACAACAATGTTAAGAAGTATAGAAGATTTTTATAGCTGGTAGAATTGGAAATATCAGAAATGGGAAATATCGACACTGATGATACATTGTGGGGCAAAACCCTACTTGTACAGCCTGGGGAAATATGAAATACTGAGGCATGGTCCCTAACTTTGATAAAGAGGCAGGTGTATCTGCTTGAAATACTGTGTAAAAAGGGAACATAAACATAGAGTGATAAACTAAAAGAAATGTATAGATGCATACCAATCTTTGTTACTCGGCTGTCAAAGGGATCTTGCAATATTTCATCTTCTACTTCTTTTATCCATTTAAATAATGGGAAGAGTTACTTTTGTTTTTCATTTTGTAGGCCAACATCCAATCAATCATGGCCTCTGAAAAGCAAGTGAACATACTGATGAAGTTGTTGGATGAGGCTCTAAAGGAGGTAGATCAGATTGAGTTGAAACTGAGCAGCTACGAGGAAATGCTCCAAAGTGTGAAAGAACAAATGGATCAGATCTCAGAAAGCAACCACCTAATTCATCTGAGTAACACTAATAATGTAAAGCTCCTGTCTGAAATAGAGTTTCTTGTGGTAAGTATGTTGGTAAATTGCTCCCACCAACAAAAAATTAAAAAAGATAATCTAGTATATAAAACCTATTTATGGGGCGCCTGGGTGGCTCAGTGGGTTAAAGCCTCTGCCTTTGGCTCAGGTCATGGTCCCAGGGTCCTGGGATCGAGCCCCACATCGGGCTCTCTGCTCAGCAGGGAGCCTGCTTCCCTTCCTCTCTCTCTGCCTGCCTCTGCCTACTTGTGATCTCTGTCTGTCAAATAAATAAATGAAATCTTTAAAAAAATAATAATAAAAAATAAAATAAAACCTATTTATGAACATTTTCTAAATTCCTTATGAGAATAAGATTTGAGATAATTCTAATACCTTATGATAGGATTGAGTAGCATCTTACCTGTAAATTTCCCAAAATTACATGTGTAAATGGTGTATTTATATGTAAATTCCAGAACCATATGGACTTGGCCAAAGGTCATATAAAGGCCCTTCAAGAAGGAGATCTCTCCTCTTCTAGAGGCATTGAGGCCTGCACCAATGCTGCTGATGCCCTTTTGCAGTGCATGAATGTAGCTCTTCGTCCAGGTATGTTCATTAGAAATAGTAAAATCTGACCAAGAATCTGAGACTAAGCCTGTAACATGGTATAAAGCTTTTAACAGGAAATACATAGCGCAAGTGGTGTAGGGGTCTGTAGTATTAGCTCCTCAAACCAGTTTCACATCTTTCCAAACATGTTTCTATTGGCACTAAGAACTTTTTCCTTTTTCTGTGATTGATCATCAGTGATTCTAGTCAACACCATGATTTTTCTCTAATACTGTCTACAGAACCTAGCACAGAGTCAATGCTTTGATTAGACCAGAGAGCAGGAGGTTTTCTTAGGCCAGTGGTTCCAAAACTTGAGTTTGCTCATGGAGAGGGTTTGTTAAAACACGTTATTGCCTGGCCCCAGCCCCAGATTCAGTAGGTCTGGGCCAAAGCTCCAGTATCCCAATTTCCAGCAGTTCCCAGACAATGCTGAGGCAGGACCACTCTTGGAGAACCACTGTGCTATACCATTTTCTCCTCTTTTTACCTTCCTTTTATAAAGCAAACGAATAAACCAATAAAACTTGGGGTTCTTCAAAACAAAAATATAGAGACTGTTATAAATGTATTCATTGAAGAGCAGAGAAATCTTTTTATGTCTTAAATCAGTCAAGAAATGTTCTGGTTTCAGGTCACGACATGCTCCAGGCAGTCAAACAGCAGCAGCAGCGTTTCAGTGATTTGCGCGAGCAGTTTGCCCGGAGACTGGCCAGTCACCTCAACAATGTTTTTGTTCAACAGGTAATTTTATTTCATTAATAACACTGCCATGTTTCTATTAGCTTTTATATATATATTTCCACAGAAATTGTAATGTGTTTAATTGAGATCACAGTATTCTTTCACATGTTTATTCAATTTTGAGATTTTTAAATAAGATTTTTTTTTAAGTATTTGCTCCTAGGTGTATTTTGGGCCTCAACTGTCTCAGGTAGACAGTCTAGTTCCTTTCAACTGAAACTCTTTTGATTCTAGAAATCAGATAAATAACTCTGCCTACTTGTTACATATACCACTTATATGTTCTTATTTATGAAAGTAAGTCCAAACTTGTTACATGTTTGCTGCTTAGCCTGTTTTATTTTCCAGTATTTTGAGGTGAGAACCAGGACTTGACTCAAGTGTTTTTAATGTTTCATTCAAAAATACTCAAGTATTTTTATATGGAAGAAAACTGACTATAGCTGAATTGTAAATTCCATTTGATTTACTTTTATAGAAACCCTTTGTCTACATTTTTATATAGAAAAGGAGGTTATAATTAAGGTTGTGGCAATAATATAAATAATATAAAGAGTACCTTAAAAGGATTTGAATAGAAGGCATTTTAATCTGGCATAATAAATTAGGTTTCTTATGTTTTTCATTTCTTATTAGGGTTATTGGACAAAAAAAGTTGAGAGAAATTTTGTTCATCAAGAAATGCTGTCTGAAACATTTCACTTTGCAGTATTCTGAAACAATTGTATTTACTATATTTTATTTCTGATTAGTTTACTCAGGCCCTCCTTCAGCTCTATAACAGGTCCTACTTTCTTTCGGTGCCTGTGAGTACATCAAATTTGGCTCAAGCTTCTCTGATTCTTTTTTTTTCTATAAAGTTTGCTAAACTTAACAGCAGCAGAATCTTTATATATTATAACTTTACTGACTTAAGCTGCCTGTTAACCATATTTATAGCAGTTTTTTAATATCCCATAGCAAAAAGTTTATTTTGTCCAGAAAGGCATTTCATCTCCTTCTGCTTGCCTCTCCTCCTGTCATTCTTTCACTCACTCACTCCTTCATTTATTTAGAAATCTTTTACAAAAAAAAAAAGGAAGAAAGAAACCTTTTACCAGGTGACTGGGATACACACCAGACATTTACTTCGGATAAGTGAGAGGCTGATCCTGTTCTCAAATGACTCACAGTCTAAGGGAAGGAGGTAGATATACTTAGGAAGGGTAAATGTTATCATAGTGGTCACACATGCAAGCATAAAGGGAGACCATCTAGCTAAGGGTATGAGGGAAACATTGGGAAAGACTTAACGTTTCACTTGACCTGGAAAGTATCAAGAAAAAAGTAAATCTAGAAGTCATACAAGAAATACTAATCATATTTTTCTTACATTAGTATTTTAATATTTATTTCTGCCCAATTCCGTAGTTTTTAAAAATGACAGCGTTGATAGTGATGTTATCCACATTTGTAGATGGCATTAGAAATGTTGGAATGTTGGAATGTTACTGTAGGTCAACAGTAGTCCTTTCTGCACCTTCATTGTTTGTTGTAACATGCAGTTAATTTATGATTTTGCTTCCTTGCCTTGTAAACTAATGGCTTTGTTTACTATGAATGCTTCAAGTTCTGAAAATCTAATATGTATTGTAACATGTGTGTGATGCATGTTGAAAAACCAGAATGTTGTAATGACCTAGGATGTGCTGAAGAAAGTGGAGGAGGGTGTCTCAAGTACAGAAAATAGATTTTTCTGTGTGCCGAATTCAGTGCATCAAGCCACCTAGCAAAAAAGGTTCGGAAACATGGGTATTTCTATTCCTAGTTGTGGAACAAATGAGCTGGGAAAAGTTGATTACCATATTATAGTACATCTCTTTGTCAGTTAGCAGATTTTCATTGTATGCCTCTTAAATACTTGTTGCCATATGTAAGAATAAGAAATGCCTCCTACACTCCAGATGCTTCTAAGGAGGCATTAAGACTAAAGTACTTAAAGCTCTATAGCAATGCATATATGAAATTGTTAATTGTATGACTATGTATACATAGTTTATGTATATATATGTACCAGTGCTAAAAAGTTTTAATATAAGTGAGTTTACAGAAAATTTAGGTAGTCAAATATGGCATCATGGATAAGATAAGAAGACTTGAACAGAGTCTGCAATGCGGTTTTTGTCAAATGTATCTATATTCAGCATCTATTAGTACCGTACAGAAGACTACAGTGGAAATAATCTGTTGATCACAACCTAACAGTAATTTAAGAGCGATGACTCCCAGTCTTTAAAATTCATACATCAGTAAAATTAAAAGAAATAAAATTTGGAGACTTACTAAGTCACCAATTTTTTTTTTAAAAGATTTTATTTATTAGAGAGAGAGAGATAGCGAGAGAGGGAACACAAGCAGGTACAGAGGAAGAGGGAGAAGCAGGCTTCTGCCTGAGCAAGGAGCCCGATGTAGGGCTCGACCCCAGGACCCTGAGATCATAGCCTGAGCCGAAGGCAGACGCTTAACAACTGAGCTCCCAGGCCCCCCTAAGTCACCAATTTTTTATTTTACCAAGTAAAAACTTTCAAAAAAAAATCCTGCCATCTACTTTCACTATCTTTTTATCTTGGCACTGAAAGAAAAAATACAACTTCAAACTTCTCAATTGAATACATTTCCCTTTGTGAGAAACTCTCTACCATCATTTTATTTGTTTCTTAGAGACGTAGGCCAGTAAAAAACATCTTCGCATTTGGCAATCAGTGATCTGGAGCACGCTGTCTATGATACAGCTTTCACATGAGGACTTCCACAGAGCTGTATTTTAATGAAACTTGAAATGCATTTTTTTAAAGATTTTATTTATTTATTTGACAGAGAGAGATCACAGTAGGCAGAGAGGCAGGCAGAGAGAGAGAGGAGGAAGCAGGCTCCCCGCAGAGCAGAGCCCAATGTGGGACTCGATCCCAGGACCCAGAGATCATGACCTGAGCCGAAGACAGAGGTTTAACCCACTGAGCCACCCAGGCACCCTTGAAATGCATTTTTATTTAATATTTACTTCTTACTGTATATACACATAGTAGAGTAATATTTTTAACAGTTGCCTAGATTCTTCTGGCTCTTCTAAATCTTCTTATACACTCAGCTTCTATTGAAATTATAGACTCTTACCTGTAATTTTTCACATTTACGAGTGATTTGTATATCTGAGAAGATCTTCAACTAGAGACTCAGGTCAGTTACGCTGATTAGCATTCTGATACTGAAAACAGGCAGTCAAATTAAGGTTAATGAAATTGAGGGAGTACTTGCATAAAATGTATGTATTTAAAAAGTTCTTTTGGTTGTCTTTTGAAAGAGTCAGCTTGAAAGGATAACTCTGCTCTGCCTCTTTTGTCCCCCTTGGGTTCTACAGAGACCTCATTATTTTGTACATTGTCTTTTGCAATATGATGAGAACTGATTACACACTGAACTAAAAGTACAACTGGAAAAAACTGAGATTGTGTGGGTTTTGCTATATGCTTAAGCTTGGGGATTTTTCTTTCAACATGTATTTATAGAAACATGGTAAAATAAAGTCTGTGAAATATACCACCAGTATTCAGTTCATTTCACAAAAGTTATGATCATTTAAGATGAGTTTTTGTGATGTTTCTTGGAATTTTCTCAGACTTCCTTTTTTCTTTAAGAAAACAAAAATAAATGTGCCATAAGACAGAAAGAGTTCCCAAATCTTGAGAATTTAGTCACCATTTGAAATGAGTGAATCATTTCTGTTTGAAAATCAGTTAGAGTGGTTAAGAGTACGATGGTGGAGCCAGACTTCCTGGATTTAAAACCCTGACTCTCTATCTCCTAGCTGGGTGAACTTTAGCAAGTTACATAACCTCTTTGTGCCACAAATTCTAGTAATATATACAGTAACGAGAATTCATAATTTATTAAGTTTGTAGAAAATGCATCTGTCTTAGATTAACTTGGACAAAACCTACTATAATATTTTTAATTATGTTAATAATAGAGTTCTGGTATTTTTTAAAAAGATTTTATTTATTTATTTATTTATTTGATTGAGAGAGAGAGAGAGTGTGTGTGTGTGTGTGTGAGAGAGAGAGAGAGAGAGAGAGAGACTGGGAGGGAGAGGGAGAGAGAATCTGAAGCAGACTCCATGCTGAAGACAGAGCTCAACACGGGTCTTAGTCCCACAACTGGATGATCATGACCCCAGCCAAAACCAAGATCAGACACTTAACCGACTGAGCCACCCACGTGCCAAGTTTTGCTATTTTTTAAATGAGGAGGAGAGTACTTTACAAGGTTATTATGAACATTAGAATTTATGTAAATAGAGAGAGCACATCTAGCATGACAACAGGCATTCAATAAATTGTTACTAGTTTTATTATTTATTGCTTATTATTAATTATCTATAATAACATATTTTTAATTTAAATTCAATTTAATTAACATATAGTATATTATTAGTTTCAGAGGTAGAATTTAGTGATACAGCTAGTTATATACAACACCCAGTGCTCATTCCATTAAGTGCCTTCCTTAATGCCCATCACCCAGTTACCCTATCCCCCCACCCTCAGTTGTTTCCTATAGTCAACATATAATAAGAAACTTTAAACAATGCCTTAATTTTCTTAATATATAAAGAATAAAGTTGTGTGTACATGAGAGTTCTAGAAGTGACCGTAACTTATATTAGTGATTGAATTAAACAGTTAATGTATAGTTATTTTAGAATAGTTTCTCTAAAATGAAATCTTCTGTTAGCACTAATCACATTTACTCTATCTAAATAGTAATGGTTTGAAGGTAATGATGTTCTTCGTATTAGAAGGCAAATTTTCCGTTGATGGTGATCTTAAAATGCTGTTTGCAAAAGAATAGTTACTTTGAATAGTAACATGTGAAAGAGCTTTATAAACTGTAAAATCCTCTATGAACAATAATTAGTTCTTCCATTTTTAGGGGAGGAGAAGGTTTTTGGGGTTTTTTTGTTGTTGTTTTTGTTTTTTAAGACTTTATTTATTTATTTGGCAGAGATCACAAGTAGGCAGAGAGGCAGGTGGGGTGGCGATGGGGGGGGTGGGAAACAGGCTCCCCACTGAGCAGAGAGCCCGATGTGGGGCTCGATCCCAGGACTCTGGGATCATGACCTGAGCCGAAGGCAGAGGCTTAACCCACTGAGCCACCCAGGCGCCCCAAGGAGAAGGTGTTTTTGTTTTTGGTTTTGTTTTTATAAAGATTTTTATTTATTTATTTGACAGAGAGAGATCACAAGTAGGCAGAGAGGCAGGCAGAGAGAGAGGAAGGGAGCAGGCTCTCTGCTGAGCAGAGAGCCCGATGCGGGGCTCGATCCCAGGACCCTGGGATCATGACCTGAGCCGAAGGCAGAGGCTTAACCCACTGAGCCATCCAGGTGCCCTGAGGAGAAGGTTTTTAATTGAAGAACTTTCCTGACACTAAATTAAGTAATATAACTTAACATGTAATGGCCTGAGTAAACAGTTGCAAAAGAACATAAACAATAATCAGCCATGCAAGAGAGAATGTTCACATAGGTCCATGCTCCCCTATCCAAAACTCTTGGGATGTTTTTAGAATTTTTCAGATTCTAGTAAAGTAATATAGTGTACATACTAAATATTACATAGCCACTCCAGGAGGGGGCTGGAGTAGGGCCCTGTGATGAAGCACACAATGTTCCTACAGCAAAAAAATATGAATAGTCATTCCAAATTCTATAAATAGCCTCATGTCAGTTCAGGTCAAGTTTTGCCACTAAAATAGATTTGGTACCTAATTTAAATGGAGCTTTGAGAGTTTTTTGTATATTAGAATTGCTGAAAGGGATTGTAGACCTATGTACGTAGTGTACCTTGTGTATAACATCTATAATAGCTGTGAACTTGTGTTGCCTCGCCATTTCTGGTTCTTGTTTTGAATTGGTCTAGTTTTCTGATACTTTTCTGCTGTCTCTGGTACAGTTTCCTAAGTAGGTATCAGTAATCTTAATCTTAAGTAATATCAGTAATCTTAATCTTTGTTTTTTTTTGTAATCTTAATCTTAGACATATATTGATTGGAGCGCCTGGGTGGCTCAGTCAGTGGGGCATCTGTCTTCAGCTCAGGTCATGATCCCAGGGTCCTGGGATTGAGCCCCAGGTCTGGCTCCCTGCTCAGCAGGGAGCCTTCTCCTCCTTCTGCCTCTCCCCCTGGCTTGTGCTGTCTCACTGTCTCTCTCAACTAAAATAAAGTCTTTAAAAAAAGAAATACATTGATTGTTCTACATAGTTTTATATGGAATTTCTATATGGGTCCTTATTTTTCTTTTTGCTCTCCATTTTTAAATTGGGTATATAACCTTACAAGAAGAAAATTCTCCCAACAGGCTGATTTGAAAGCTTTAATGAAAAAGGTACTCAAGTAACAATGGTTTTAGTACTCGGCATGTCTTATTCTCCTGCCTTTCTTGCTCTAAAAGTACTTCTCAATTGCTAGAGAATTCTTCATTGCCTTAAACTAAGAATTTTTTCTGGGTACTCTGTAGTTAAATTGCTTAAAAAATCCATAACCACCCAGTTCTTACTTTGTCTATATAGTAAAGCATATAAATTAGATAGAGGAAAGAAACCTGTTTTAACTTAAAAGAATTTAAATTCAGGGGCACCTGGATGGCTCATTTGGTTTAGCATCTGACTCTTGATTTCATGACCCTTAGATCATGAAATCAAGCCCCGCATCGGGCTCCTCGCTCAGCACAACAGTCTGCTTAAGATTCTCTCTCCCTCTGCCCTTTATCCCAGGCTGAATAAATAAATAAATAAATAAATAAAATCTTTAAAAAATAAAAATAAAAGCATTTAAATTCAGGATATTTATAAGCTAATCTATATCAGCTAGTATAATACATATATAATTAGGTTCAGGTAACTTTACTAGGAAATGAGTTAATGAGTGCCAAAACTCAATCCCTGTGTCATTTTAACAGAATGCTAACAAGTAAGTTTTAACTAAGCAAATTAGATTGAGTCAGAATGAACATCAAATTAGTCCATCTTTTTCCTTTTCCTTATTCTTGGGAATTTATATTTTCAAGGGGAATCTACTCCTTTAATCTTTCAGTTCCTCATCTCTTAGACACTGGCTTTGAGTTTATGACAAATATTGACCAAGTAGCAGAGAGCTAGATTGTTTCTAGAGATGGCTGGGAAGATTTTTAGTGTTTGTTTTTTTGTGTGTTTGTTTTTAGATACCAATAACTAGTAAGCATTTGCAGTTTTTGAATCTGGTTAAAATGATTTTGTTAGATATGTTTTTAAAAGAAAATGGAAGTGAGACTCACATGACTGAGGTTCCACTTCTTCCCTCCATTGTGACCTGAGCAAATCACTTAACCCTTTAAGTTTCCACTTCTTCTAGAAAATAAGGTCATTGGAACAGATAATCTTCCAGGCCTATGTTTTTCAAAACAAAAGTTAGGCTGCATCATCTAAGACTGACTGATAACTCACAAGTTTATTTACATAAAAACCTTGTCAAGGTTTTAAAATAAAATCTTGTGTAGTTATTTAACAAATTCCCAGAAAAACTAAAATGACACTGTTATTAAGTATTATCCAGGAAAGCCCAGGATATCATCATCTGTAGTGCTTCATAGTTTTAAAAGTTTATATCCTGTATGTTCTTATCTGTTGTTTTAAATATTGTAAACTCTAATAGTAGAAATACCATAGATGTAGACAGTTTGTTTTGAATGACTTCCCTATTTGATGTCTTTCTCAGTACAGTTGTATCATGAGGTTGATTTGCTTAGTAAATAGTAAAATGATACGGAATGGGAGAGACAGCCTCGATTAAAACATTTATTCTCAGCTTCTTTAGAAGATGAAATGGTTAGTTGCTGTATCCCAGAGTGCCATTCTTGCATGTTTATGATTATTTTATGGTGATGGTATACAGTAGATTTATGTGAGATGATGAAAGAAGACAAGTAAGTACTCAGTTTTTAATCCCTCTATCTTCTTTTGCTCTTCTTTGGCTGCATTTGGTCACTGTTTAGAATTTTCAGTTACAGCATGTGTTTCCTTTACTGTCATTGTATTTATTTACTTATTTACTCACTCTAGGGTCACGATCAGAGTTCAACTCTTGCTCAGCACTCTGTGGAACTGGCTTTGCCCAACCATCATCCATTTCACAGAGACTTGCTTCGATATGCCAAGCTGATGGAGTGGCTAAAGAATACAGATTATGGAAAATATGAGGGACTTACAAAGGTATGAGTTTGATATCAGTTACTCACTGCGTATGGAACATAGTCTTCTAGAAGCAAGACGTCATGTATTCAGTTCCCCAAGTAACATTTGAAGTACTGTAGTACTTTCTTAGCAAAGCAGAAACTACTTGCATTTCTGAGTGCCCATTAACCAGGCAGGATATTTATTTTATTTACTTGGGTAAGGAAGAGCTTAATTTCAAACTTCAGTTTAGTGTAGTAATGGGCCGTACTGTGGCCTTAAGCATCATTCAGTTTAGTTAAATGCAATAATTATCTCCTGCATTTTTTTAAATGCATTATAGAAACTAGAGACTAGATGATGTATAAGTGAGGTGTTTGCCCTCTAAGAATGGATAACCTGTTCAATGAAGCAAATGCAGAGTACCTCTTTATTAAGCAAGCATTTCACTATTCAGGCACATGGGCCCTAACAAACAACCCCTGCTTCTAAAGAGCCTTACATCTGACAAGAACAATTATACTTAAAACAGTCAGGAAAACATTAAGTACCAAACTGAAAATGAGTTTAAATGCATGGCAGTTATAGAAAAGAGAAATCCATGTCCTAAAGCCATGGGGGAAAACTTTAGAACAGAAATTGGACTTGAATTGAGTTTTAAATAATGAATGGGATTAGATAAACCAGAAAAAAGAGAAAGGGCATTCTGGGGATGAGGAGCAAGACGTGCAGACAAAGGTGGGAAAATACACCCTTTTGTCAGGACAATGGAGGATGGAGGCCCATGAAGCAGAAATTTCATATTCTAGAGCAGCGAGAAATTATGTTGAAAAAGATGAGCCTTGAGACCTAACAGTATTCCTCATACATGGGAAAAGACTAGATGAGGCAAATTCATTAAGAACCTAATATAATATTCAGATGAAATGAAATCTGAACCAGGAAGATAGTGGTAGAAATAGAGAATAGAAACCAAAAGAGAGACTCCAGGGATGGAAGGGACAGGATGATGCCAAACTTTCTAGACTTGGAGACTAGAAGAGCGGCGGCAGCAACATCAGCAATTGGAGAAGATGAGTCATTCATTCATATACGAATTTACTGAGCACCTGTTGTGTTCTAAGTAAGTGCTAGAGATACAGCACGGAAGGAAATAGGCGAATGCGTTTTCATAGCGCATGTTTTGGTGGAGGAAGACTGACAAAAAAATCAGTTGTATGGTAGATTAGAAGGTACTACTGAGTGCTCTGGAGAAAATAAAACAGGGAATGCTGGGACTGGGGGAAGACTGTAGCTTGAGATAAGGCATCATGAGAAGATAACATCTGAGCGTAGATTTTTAAAATGAGCAAGGGTGTGGGGTGCCTGGCTGGCTCAGTCAGTAGAACATTCCACTCTTTGATCTCGGGGTTGTGAGTTCGAGCTTCATGTTGGGTATAGAGATTACTTAAAAATAAAATCTTAAAAAAAATAAATAAGCAGAGGTGAGCAGGGGGAGTTTCTTGGGGAAAGCGTTCCAGGCACAGTACAGCTGTTCTATGGCAAGAGCATGCCTGTGTACTGGGGGAGCAGCAAGGCACTGTGGTTGGAGCACAGAGGACCAGGAACAGGACCTTAGAAAGAAGGTAGGGGAGGTGAAGTGGGGGTGGGGTGGAGCAGATCTGGAAGGGACTGTGTACCCATGGTAAGAACTTGGCTTTTACCGTGAGGGAGATCGGGGAAGGGGTTTTGGTGGGTTGTGAGCAGTAGAACGACATGATCTGATTTAGCTTTAATAAATGGCCATTGTGGCAGAAAGCCATGGGTATAATACTTTTCTGGCATTTCTGCTATGACCTTTAGTATTGAAATTGACCATGTCACTTAGGGAACTGAAGAATTGCTACCTAATTCCAAAATATAAAGAGCTGTATTGATATATCATATGTAAGAGCACTTTACTTAAAATTCGGAAATACCCTGGAAAACGTGAAATCTTTTAAGTTTTTATGAAAATTTAAGTAAGGCATAAGTTATTTTAATAATTAGTAATAATTTAATTATGTGGACAATATGACCTTAAAAGATGTTCTCGAATTGGAAAGAAGGACGTATTTTGTTTCTTAGAATGAAAACAAAAATATTGAGATTGTTAATATAAAAGCCCTTCCCCTTAACCCATATGCTTGTGGCAAAAAATTTTCTAACAGAATTTAGATAGCAAAATCATCTTATTTTTCGCTAGTTTTGCTAGCCAGAGTTTTTCTCGGTTTTATTCAAAAAGTGGTGCTCTCTTTCAGAGTGTTTTATAATGAAGCTTATTCTCCCTCAGGAAACTAATGTTTATACATGAACCCATTTTATCTTCATACTTACTGAAATAATTATTATAACTTCCTCTAGTGTTAGGTTCATACTTCCTGAGAAGGCAGAGGATTAGGTAGAAATTTATGAGAACTATGATGATAAGAAAAAAAGCAGGTCGTACATGCCTATCAGTGTATCAATTTGAACACATTTGGCATAAGGACATTCTTGTATATCAGTCTTTATGTGTTTCAAAGTGCCTTTGCCCACTTAAAGTAAGATCTGGTCCCTTTACTTCTAAATTGCGATCATAAGAAAGGGGACATAAACCTTGGTAAAAATAAATAATATTTTAAAGTATAATTTTAAAAATGTTTTTCAAAAAGAATATAAGTATCCTGAGGTATTTATATATATATCTTATCTGGTCAGTTATTTTTAAGACTACTTTTGTTCCTCAGAATTAGTCTTTTAAGTGTTCTGCAATTCTACTGTTGTGTTATATTTTGTTTTGTTCTGTTTTGTTTTCATTCAACAGAATTCTGATTTGGAGATATCTTAAGGAAAAATACAGTACTGGAATTCTTTGCCTTTTGAAGTTTTAGGAGGATTAATATTTTGAATAATTAAACATTATTATATCTCCTTAAGAGTTTTGTGCCAACAAGTGCTCTGTCCCTTAGTAAATATTCAAATAAGTAAAATAATCAATAAGCTTTTTGCCTAATTGTGTTCTCAGTGAGTATTATTGCCCTATCTTTATATATAATGCAGTATTCATGAATGTAATTTAAGTAAAGAAACAAGATGATAGCCAACCTAGCAATGATTTATGGACTCATTCTCTGCTCATAGTATAGTTTTGATTGACAATATTAATGAGCTTTTTAAATGAAATTGACTTATTTCCCAGGAATGTTACTTGATCCTGTGGCTTGAACTTTTGACAGACTATGTATTTTACCTCATAATCTAATTTGGTTGCTGAAGTCAAAAACAGGAATTTGACTAAAAAGGAAGAAGGAAGAGAGGAATGAAAGAAGGAAAGAAAGAAGGAAACAGACAAACCAGTACTTCTTTAGTAAGAAATAATAACGAAATGCTGTTTGCACTGGATTGGGTGTACATAGCTCTCCTGCTTTCTGGCAGGAAAGAGAAAAGCCTTTTTCTGTTCTTTAAGGGATAAGAATCACTAGGCACTGCCCAGCTGTGCTTCTCATCTAATCTAAGCAAAGCCCCAAGTTTTAGTATACATAATTAGAGCTTAGAGAAATAGATAACTGCCCAGATTCCTTCCTCCCCAGGACTACAGCCCCTCTCCATGGCTCTGGATTATTCGTGTAGGGCAGTTAAGAATAGAGATGTTCCATCCATGCTTAGGGAGGAAATGAGCTTTCCTCTCCCATTAATTTCCTTGAAGATTACTCAGACGTCTCCTTTCAGCCCCAGTTCTGCATTTGTGGAATTTACCCGTTTGTGTAAAGAAAAAGTAAAATATAGAGATCTTGGTAAGACTGCACAGTCAAAACAATGAAAGTTGAAAAGACTGCCTGAGACAACAGTATTTAAACTCTTGATAGTTAAATGTAAGGTGCTATATACAAGGTGCTAAGCTCCTTCTAAGAGACATTCTTCAGAATTTGGTAAATGAATGAACTGATGGTTACACCTGTCTGTGGCCTCACCCACCAATGAGTTCTGTTACGTAGCTGGAAAAAGTTATCTAGTCATTCAAGCTGCATTGGAAAAGGGGGTGATTTTCAATAGTCTGCTCATGTCACTGTTTTCTAGATACCAAAGAAGCTGTTTTCAAATGGTTTAAATTGCTTGGGTGGTAATGTGCACTTTAGACAATTTGGGTATTGGAATGCAGTCTGTTATGTTGAATGATTTGAGTAGAAACCACCGATGAAGATTTCACAAATTATGTGAAACTGATTTTCTGTCTGTCAACTCTTCACTGATTTTCAGTGCTAATATTTTTTTAAAGATTTTATTTATTTAATTGACAGAGATCACAAGTAGGCAGAGAGGCAGGCAAAGAGAAAGAAGGGGAAGCAGACTCCCTCTGAGTAGAGAGCCCGATGCAGGGCTCGATCCCAGGACGCTGAGATCATGACCTGAGCCAAAGGCAGAGGCTTAACCCACTGAGCCACCCAGGCACCCCTTGACTAAGTTTTCTTACAGAGACTACATGGGAAGTATATATGGCCTACAAATTGAAAAACCAAGGATCTATATGTTTCATCCAAATATATTTTATAAGGAAATATCTATGAACTAAGAAAATCAGTGGTAAACTATGAGTCAGGATACAAATATTCATATAATATATACCCTTTGAAAGGTATACTTGATGTTTAAAGCAACATAAACCTGCTCTAAAGCTGCCTGTATTGGGGCACCTAGGTGGTTCAGTCAGTTAAGTGTCTGCCTCCGGCTCAGGTCCTGATTCCAGGGTCTAGGGATTGAGCCCCACAACGGGGAGCCTGTTTCTCCTTCTCCCTCTGCCTCCTGCTCCCCCTGCTTGTGCTCTTTCTCTCTCCCTGTCTGACAAATCTTTAAAAAAATTTTTTTAAAAGTGAATATTAATTTGAACTCATAAAGAAGCATAAGCTTAGATCCCAGGATAAATTTAAAAGAATAGCGAAGTACAGTGGATTTATTTACATTTCGTCAGACTGTGTAAGGCATTTAATTTAGGACTTGGTAAAATGCATGGTTTCCCACTAGTGAAGAATCCTTCCTGAGAGCATAAAATATTTTTATGTGATAATAAGCAGATATGATGAAGAAATGAGTCTGTATGCTAAATTATAGATGAGATGTTTCCATTTGAGCTAGAATAAATCCAGTTTGTTTCTAAAAAATAATTGTGAAAACTGTAAGATGTACTAGTTATAATTAAACTCTTATTGAAAATAACTTATTTTGGAATACCTAAATACCCTAAGCTTATTGAAAGATTATTTTTTAAATATATTTTTTAAATTTTTTTACTTTTTTTTTTTTTTTTAAAGATTTTATCCATTTATTTGACAGAGAGAAATCACAAGCAGGCAGAGAGGCAGGCAGAGAGAGAGGAGGAAGCAGGCTCCCCGTTGAGCAGAAAGCCCGATGCGGGGCTTGAACCCAGGACCTGGGATCATGACCTGAGCCGAAGGCAGCGGCTTAACCCACTGAGCCACCCAGGCGCCCCTAAATTTTTTTACTTTTTTAAAAGATTTTATTAATTTGACAGAGAGGGAGATCACAAGTAGGCAGAGAGGCAGGCAGAGAGGGAGGGGGAAGCAGGCTCCCCGCTGAGCAGAGAGCCCAACGCAGGGCTCCATCCTACAACCCTGAGACCATGACCCGAGCCAAAGGCAGAGGCCCAACCCACTGAGCCACCCAGGCACTCCTTGAAAGAGTATTGAAAATAGCCTATTTTGATATGCCTTAACTACCCCTAAGTTGGCAGGGGACACTGACACTGAATGTCCCCCTTTGTTGCCATTGACACTGTTGGTATGATTGTTTTTAATAGCAGCATGGCAATATGGAGGAAGTTACAAAGATTCCCATTTTCTTTGGCCCTGTATTTCCATCCTTAGGAAATGATTCCAAGAAAACAATTCATTAAAGATGAAAAGGTTATTATAACATTGTCTATCATAGCAAAACATTGAAACCACTTAAGTGGCCTCTGCTGGGGGATTGATTTGCTGAATTGTGGTATATCAACAAAGCATAACACTGTACAGTCATTAAAGTGTGAGGCTGGAAAAACATGATTGCTCAGACCCAAATATGCTATACAGTAGGATTACAACTCTATTTGAAATCTCTGAAAGAAAATACATAAAAATGAAAATATAAGTGTGATTATATTCGATTTTATATTTTTATAAATTGCTGTTTTGATGCCTGTTCTTTTTTTTTTTTTAAAGACAGAAAACAGCCAATTTTTTTATCCTATGAAATACCTCAGGATTTTAGACCAGAAAATTTCAAGCAAGCACGAAGGCTTTGGGGGGACTGAATTGTTATATTTGTTTAATTAATAAGAAGTACCTCTTACTTTTATTTTAAGAATTACATGGATTATTTATCACGACTATATGAGAGAGAAATTAAAGATTTCTTTGAAGTTGCAAAGATCAAAATGACTGGCACAACTAAAGAAAGCAAGAAGTTTGGTAAGCTTAGACACCTCAGTTCATTGTTTTCTTTTCTATTCTATTCTATTAAAAGTGGTTTTATTTATGACAAATAAGTCTAAGACATTTTAGAGCAAGGTGGAAGAAGATATGGTAGAATTGATGAAAAAGTAAGTCTGATGTGTTGGTTTGATTTATAGTTATTTCACAGAACAAATGTTTATATCTGTAAATACAGCTTTTACCAGAATTCTCTGGTAAATGAATCTGACAGCAATTGTGTATTCATGCCATAAATGAAAGCATCTATTCATAAGAAAAGCAGTTGACCAGAAATGAAGTGCAATCTGGTGGAGAAAGTATTAGGCTCAGAGACAAGTTGAGAGTTGAGTTTCCGACTTCCTAAAAGGCCTTCTGTAGCAGTTGGTGGCAAGTCATCGATCTCTTAAGTCATTGCTCTTTACAGGGAAATGAAAAGTAATTCCTGGCTTCTTACTTCTCACTGGCTATTTTGAATCAAAAAGAAAGTTTGTGTTTCCTCCCCGGTCAAGGGGCTATAAAAGTGTCCTCCAAATTTCTCCTGGGATTATACCTAATTTTTCCAAAGGGATATTTTCCAAGCATGTTATTTTTTGTTGCTTCGAAGTATGTTAAGCGGACAGAAACGTGATTTGAAAAGATAACCAGTGAAAGTCTCAAGTTGCGAGGAAGGTGATTTGCCGAGGCCACATTCTGCTCTTGCATGTGTACCCATCTCTGGAGTTCCTTTTGGATGGAGTTCTGTGCCTACTCAAGTCAAAACCTGGCCTTAAATGGCTACAATGTGTACTCCTCAGTGTGTCTGCCTAGTTTCCCTTTAGACCAATGAGTTTAGCATTTGCTTGTTGAAAGGAGCCTATGCCCTAAGCAACTTCTGGTAATCAGGAAACAGGATTGAAATTGATAGCACATCTTTCCATTCTTTTCCTTTAGGACAGAGAAGACTGTCTTTAGTGGGTAATTATTTAGTAATTCACTGTTGTTGTTGTTATTGTTGTTGTTTTAATTCAACACTAATATATTGATTATGCTAGTCCAGACTGTTGAAATGTTTTGAATCTGTGTACACATATGTTACACTTAGGTAAATACACTGATAAGTATCTTGGGACCATAGGCTTTTGGAAACAGAAATGCTAACTCATCCTAAAGGTTAATTGTTCTGAAACAGCAGTGTGTTTATATCCTTGTTAATGTTTCACTGTGGGTATGTTATGCTTTTTTTTTTTTTAAGTAAGCAACATATTAATTCAGTTACATGTTTAATGTTTTCATTTAGTATATTTGTCACCACTTGTTAGTGAACCATTTTATTTTGAGAGAACTCTTCTAACAGAATATGAAAACTGGAGGTAAAAAGGAAATCTTTCTAAAATTATCTCCTTAGGAGGCCGTTAATCCCAGTATCATAATAGTTTATCAAGCCTAAGATTCACATTGAGATAAATGACATAACAAAAATGTAATTTAAAACAAGTACAACACTATCTTACTGGTATCATTGCATTAACCTGAAAATTAATTTTTTTCTTTTTCTCCCTCCTGGGAAGTTCTTAAATTATCTTGTTTAAAATAGTTTTAAATTAGAAGTTTAGAAGGCACTTTTATAGTTCTAAAATAGCATTAAAATCACATTTCTTCCTATGTATAAAATAATAGCAGGAGAGTAATTTGTGATGGTTGATGGCACCAGAAAATCATAGTTTCAGTTATCTTGATAACATCAACTACAAAAGAAGAAAAACTAAATAGTAAACAGAATTCAGAAGACAAGTTTAAACAGATGATTTAAATTCTAAATAAGGTAGAGTGAAAATTTTTTTAAATATCTTTTCATTCAAATTGTGTTTAAATCAACTTTTAATAGTAATATAATTAAAATAGCTAACTGAAATTTTAGAAAGATAACTTGTCCATGAATCAAAATGAAGTAATTATAAATAAAATCTAATTTTGTTTTGTTTTTTTAAAGACTTAATTAATTCATTTATTTGACTAAGAGATCACAAGAAGGCAGAGAGGCAGGCAGAGAGAGAGGAAGGGAAGCAGGCTCCCCAGCAAGCAGAGAGCCTGATTCGGGGCTTGATCCCAGGACCCTGGGATCACGACCTAAGCCGAAGGCAGAGTCCTTAACCCACTGAGCCACCCAGGCACCCCTAATTTTGTTTTGTTTTTTACTTGCTCTGAAAATTCTGGGTCATAGATGCTAGTAAGAATAGAAGGTCAGAAATGTATAGTCAATATTGTTATAGAGATTCAGGGGCACACTCTCTTTTTGAACCACTTTGACTCAACTTTAACATCACTTTAGCTCAGGTCATTCAGAATAATGTTGAAATACCAACAGACATCTTTTCTTTGTAATAAGATCTTTAGTAGGTGATTGCCTTTTTTAATTAATAGGTTTACCTTGATAAACTCAGAGGCATGGAATTTTCTCCCCAAGAATAATACTTTGGTGGAGTTTTTCCCCTTGTGTTCTACAAATATACTTAATGAAATGGCAGGCAAAGAAATTTAGAAATTATTTTTTAAATCACCGATTTTTTTCTTTCTATAGCTAAGATAACACAACACACACATGCATATTATTTTAGGCCCTTAACATATGCATTTATATAATTACTGCCTCCCTTGTATTTAACATTCCAAAATTTTAATAGTGGTATGTCAAAATTGTTTTTCAATCTGTGTTGTTCCAGTAAACTAAGAATCTTGTTGATTCCAAAAGGAGTCTTGAATACAAGACTAAATTCAGTGCTGGCTAGAAAATTCATTTAATAAATACTGATTATTATATAATAAGCACTGCTAAGTACTGAGAATGCAACAATAAGCAAAGACCCTACCTCATGAAGTTTACAGTCTAATGGGGATTATTTAAAGATACTTAAGATGTTACCTGAAGGGGCGCCTAGGTGGCTCAGTAGGTTAGGCATCCAGCCCTCCATCTCAACTCAGGTCTTGATCTCAGGTTCATGAGTTCAAGCCCCACATTGGGCTCCATGCCCAGTGTGGAGCCTACTTTACAAAAAAAAAAAAAAAAAGTTGCCTGAATATTGCTTGTCGCTGATAAATAATATAAGCTTTGATGAGCCCCAAATCATTATTAATTGGCACTGTTAGTAACTCTGTGTTCCTTATTGGGTACAAAAAAAAAAAAAAAAAGGTGTGAACTTAGTATAGTGACACCTTAAGGCCACTAGGAGGTACTGTTCAGCTTGGCCCACTAGTTGATCCAGCACGATCCCTGCTTACCACTTAAATCTCTAGCGTTGGTGTTTCATTCTTCTTAAGCTCCACATAGCTAGGGCTGCAAAGATGACAAGTCAGTAGCTTTTACTTGGGCTTTTGCCTCGAAGTTTGGTAGGGATGTTGACAGTTTGATACATTGTTCTCTGTATTTAAATTATTTCTAGGTTATAGTTATATTCTTTAATTTTCTCTTTCTATAAGTTCTTTCTTTGCCTTTCACATTAACTTCTAATTTGAGTTGAGAATGTTTCACAAGATGATCTCTACAATTGATCTAATAAATATTATATAGAGAGAAGTTTTAGAATAAAAGAAATGCCAAATGATCCCAAAAGAACTCAGATTCCTGTATTAAACCTGTTCCTTTGGCTTTAAGCCTTCCATCCACCCATCTCCTGATAATTAGTATTTTGATATCTAATTTTCATTCTAGGTGTTCATAAAGCCAGCTACTAAGTAGTTCAGGTTGATATTTTGAAATGATTTTAACACCCCAACCATGTAATTTTTTATCAGATGTGGCCATAACATTATTCAGTACAGTGGAGACTCCTCTCAGGACTTCTCAGGGAGCGAAAATGTTGATGTGCTTAATATCTAAGTCTGCAACTTCATTCTAATAAATTTCCACTTTATTAAATTTTTACTTGACCATATGATCTCACTCGTATGTGAAATTTAAGAAACAAAACGAATGAGCAAAGGAAAAAAAGAGACATCCAGAAACAGACACTTAACTATAGAGGACAAACTGATGGTCCCCAGAGGGCAGGGTGGGTGGGTAGGGGCTGGGGATTAAAGGGTACACTTATGATTAAAATAAAATAAAATAAAATAAAATAAAATGACTTTAAAAAAATTCTAAAAACACTTTTACTTCAACTGTTTTTTTCCCAGGAACCAAAACTTACAAATATAATCTTTTAAATTTTAAGCGCACTAGCTCCATAAACTTTAAAAAAAAAAAAAAAAAAATCACTTAAAAGTGTTGGGGGAGGGGCCGACAAATACAGACATTTTTGCCTATTTGAGTAAAAACAAACATTAGACCAGTAAAGTTTTTTCTCTCAGAATTTGTCAAACAGTAGCTGACCAACTAAACATACGTTGCACACCTCTTGTTACTTGATGCTCATGGTTCTTTGCATGTGTCTTTTAAACTAGAGCTTTAACTTCCTCTTGTGCATGGTTTGTGCAAATTGCAGTTTATTAACTTGTCTTTGTCTTTGATGCTTGCAACCTAATCCATCACAGCTACACTGCCTCGAAAAGAAAGTGCTGTCAAACAGGAAACAGAGAGTGAGTATGCTTAGTGTATTAGTAGGTATTCTCAATGCATGTTTGTTTAATGTCTAGAAATCAGTTTTTTGTCTTGAAAAAAGTTACATCCAAAAATATTGATTGCTCTGAGTTGCCAGGTTCGGTGGAAGAAAACCAGCATGATGGTAGTGGTATGGCTACATTCAAGAAATGTAATTCAAAATATATGGTGGGTAATCAGAAATTATGAAAAGGCTTAACCATTAAACTTCTGTTTTCAGGCTTTGTTTAGAAACTATAAAAATTCTTACAAATATGGTCAGATTTTTGCATAATGAAACTAAGGTGTATCTTTAATTGTCCTTATTATATCTTCATCTGTCCCTTCTGACCATCAGCAAATAATATAGGTTAACTGAGAAATACTTTAGAAAATTAAAAAAATTATTCATTGTTTATATTTAATTCTGAATAAAAATATTACATTTTCTTGTAAAAATGGAAGCCTTTAATTCCTTGATGGATATGGAATATTGTCCAGCCACATTGTTCTCATTTTTCCTCAAAGATGTCTCATATGATGCAGTTCATGATGTATATATTACATATTATTTATTTTTTAAGTATAGCAAGTTTTCAGGTAGTTTTTTTCTCTTCACTTGTTTAGTTTTTAAAGAGCGGTAGATAATCAGTTCACTTGCTGTAAAAACAGTTTCTGGATTCAGGAATGTGTTAAGTTACATCATATGTAATCTGCTTTTTGTACGGCAAGAATGATGGCATATTGGCAGTTTTGTATGGTTCAACCCAATATTTTCATTTAATGTGGAGGCGTGTAATATTGGGATATGGCTGTTTTCTTCAGAAAGAAAAAAAGTCATTAAAAAATAAAAATAAAAAAGACATCATAGCTAGTACACCAAAGAGTCATTGGCCTTCATCCATATTTATATCTTTTGAGTAACTCAGGAAGGAAATCTTCATCTACTTTAGCCTAGAAATACTAGGCAACTTTGGTGGTACTGCGTAGGGTATAGATCATGCGATCCTTAAGACCGCTTTTGGTCCTATTCTGTAAATCTGTGTAGTTTTTGCTACTCCTTACAGTATGCTCAGGAATAGGACACAAATGTTAATGAGAGAGCAGGACACGCTACCACACAGCCCATGTGGTCGGCTTGTGTGATAACTGATATGAGCACTGAATACCAAGACAGTAGGCAAGAGCCCTCATTCACAATATGGGTCTTTTATTCATGAAGGTCACAACTTTCAAAGTTTTATTATTTCTTAGGTCTTCATGGAAGTTCTGGGAAATTAACTGGATCTACTTCTAGTCTAAATAAACTCAGCGTTCAGAGTTCAGGGAATCGCAGATCTCAGTCATCTTCTTTGTTGGATATGGGAAACATGTCTGCCTCTGATCTCGATGTTGCCGACAGGACCAAATTTGATAAGGTAAAATAATGTAACAAGTATGTCTTAAACACGAACATTTGTTTTCTAATAGCAGTTTGTTATTGCTTTAAGTGTGTTCCAGGATTTGGGCTATGTTGGCTCTCTGAATTAACCATATCTTTTGAATTCTGAATCTGAAAAAAAAAATACTATTCAAATGGCAACTGAAATGTGTATTATCAATTCATTGACATAACAACTTTATTAGAATTTATTTTAAATCATTAAGAGCTTGTATCTTGGGGCTCCTGGGTGGCTCAGTGGGTTAAAGCCTCTGCCTTCGGCTCAGGTCATGATCCCAGAGTCCTGGGATCGAGCCCCGCATAGGGCTCTCTGCTCAGCGGGGAGCCTGCTTCCTCCTCTCTCTCTCTGCCTGCCTCCCTGCCTACTTGTGGTCTCTGTCTGTCAAATAAATAAATAAGATCTTTAAAAAAAAAAAAAAAAAAAAAGAGCTTGTATCTTTAAGTTCCTTGAGCCAAACTACAAAATAAAGTGGAAATAACAGCTTGTATGAAGCTAAACTGTTCTTTGCAATGCATTAAGTTTAAAAAGTTTGTCTCTGTGTTCCTCTTTCCAGATTCCAAGTGAATAATTATTTTGAGTTTTATTTTAGGTGTGTCTGGCCCTGTTAAGCCTTAATACATCTGCATCGTCCTATCAATCTTGGAATAGTTTCTTTTGGGATTCTGTTGAGATTATATGTAAAGCATCTATGATCTCTCCAGAAAAGTGAATTAAATGTAGAAGATGTTTTCATGCGTTTGGTGCAGTTCATTTTTGTTTTCTTCAGATCTTTGAACAGGTACTAAGTGAACTAGAGCCCTTGTGTCTGGCAGAACAGGACTTCATAAGTAAATTTTTCAAACTACAGCAACATCAAAGTATGCCTGGAACTATGGTATGGCTCACATTTATTTGTTGGCTAATATTTATAATCAGTAGTATAATTAGCCTAATTAATTTATTGTCACAATTTCAACATCAGAACAGAAAAAGAAAAAATTTACAATGCAAGGATTTTTTCAGTAATTTTTGTCATACCACAAGATAATGAAAACAGTGATAGTTGGCTACTCCAGACATTTAGGTCTAAGACAATACTCCAAATTGTCTTAGACCTAAATAGCCTCTAAATTAGTAAGAGGGAAATGTCTGAATTTACTTTGTAAAAAACACTCTTCAAAAGGAAATTTTAGCATTTTAGTAGTCACCAAGAAAAAATACAATTTTCAAAAGAAAAAGATATATGAGTGCGTATACCAAGGTCTAACAAAAAAAAGAAGAAAGAAAGAAAGAACCAGGCCCCAAATCTGAACCTTTCCTGTGCCTTTGTTACTAACTAGGTATGAGACCTTAAACCAATTATTTAATCCCCAGTTTTCCTCATCTGTACAATGAATAATAACTGTTCAGCATGCCTCTCAGGTGGCGTAAATGTAAGAAAATAAAATGAGATGCTGTTGCAATATTTTGAAAAACTTACAAATACAAATAAAGTGATTTTTAAATTAAGGTCATCTTGGGCAGCTCGCTGGCTCCGTTGATAGAGCATGTGTCTCTTGATCTCCGGGCCATAAGTTTGAGCCCCATGTTGGGCATAAAGCTTACTTGAAAAAAAGTAAGGTCATCTTAATATACAGAACCAATATATAAAAAGCAATCATAAAATGAATTTGTTGTTCTAGGTGATGTTGATAGTAAATTTGCTTATTTGTTAACCTCTCTAAGAATTTTTAATAACATTGTTTAAATGCCAAAGTTTTATTTAAACGATTGATGAAATTCTTTAATTTTTAAAATTCTTTCTTAAAAGTTGTTTCTGTTTTTTTGAGCTTCCCTCCCCTTCTGAGCCTCCAGTACCTTCTCTGTCCCTGCTTTCCCCTCATATGCATACACACAGGCACATCTTCTCAGCCCACAGTAATTCTCAGATAAAATCTAAGAACAAAACATTTCCTAACCATTCTTAAACAACATACTAAGTTATATAGTTTTATCAATAGTACTGCCTTTAAAAATCATTATTTTTCATAATGTATTCTCTCCTAGGAATTTTAGGACTGAGCAGGCTTTTGCTATATAAACTAGTCAAATTGTTGGTCTTTTATTATGTAAAGTACCCGAATAATTTTTGCAGACTGAAGCAGAGGACCTAGATGGAGGAACGTTATCCCGGCAACATAATGCTGGCGTGCCACCACCTGTCTCATCTGAGTATGTGTGTGTTAATATCTGTTGTTTATCTGGGGAGGGGGACACTTAAAATTGAACCTCAAGGGGTGCTGGTCGGTGAGGAGCCAGGTGATTCTGGTGATGTGACAGCACTCAGAGCACTGACATGTGCGCCCAGTGCCTTCTCAAACGTCTTACTCAGTTAAAATTGGTCCTGTTGTCTGACCCTTCAGCTCTTTTTGGCTCGTAATCACAAAAAAGTGCAATCAGTTTAGTGTTTGCTGGTAAGAAGTAGCATTTGAATTGTAGGGTATTTCTCAGAAATTACAAAGCACTTTTCAGGATCCAGCTTTACAAATGACATGAAGTTATATTTTGAGTAATAAAATTTCAAAAAATATTTTTATGTTGGAAACTGCTGTAGAATAATTAGTTCATCCTATCTGGACGTTTTTTGTTGAAATGTGAAATTTTAGTCATTTTGTATATCTGTAGTGGATTAAAGTTAAAGATCAAGATATGAAACCTATAATCAATTCCCATATTTTGTTTGTTTCCTGAACAGGAAAGATATGATCCGTCAGATGATGATTAAAATATTTCGCTGCATTGAGCCAGAACTGAACAACCTGATTGCATTAGGAGACAAAATTGATAGCTTTAACTCCCTCTACATGCTTGTGAAAATGAGCCATCATGTGTGGACCGCACAGAATGTGGACCCTGCTTCTTTTCTGAGTACTACATTGGGAAATGTTTTGGTGACTGTCAAAAGGAACTTTGACAAATGCATTGTAAGTTGTTTTTTGTTTTTTTTAAATAACTTAGAGTTCTAATCATTGCAAAAAACAGGTAAATGTATTTAAATCAAGAGAGAACTGGGTGTGGGGCGCCTGGGTGGCTCAGTGGGTTAAAGCCTCTGCCTTCGGCTCGGGTCATGATCCCAGGGTCCTGGGATCGAGCCCCGCATCAGGCTCTCTGCTCAGCAGGGAGCCTGCTTCCTCCTCTCTCTCTGCCTGCTTCTCTGCCTACTTGTGATCTCCGTCTGTCAAATAAATAAATAAAATCTTTAAAAAAAAGAGAGAGAGAGAACTGGGTGTTATATGCAAATAATGAATCACGGAACAGTACTTCAAACACTAATGATATACTGTATGGTGACTAACACAACACAATAATTAAAAAAAAGGAGAGCGGGATTTTCAGTTTTCCATTGAGTGTCTACTGTTCACATCCCTCAAAGCTCTGAAGCAGAGTGTGGGCTGCAGTTTACAGGCACAGAGTTCATGGGATTGCTACTATGCCAGCTAGCTGCCCTTCTCCCCTGTGTGTGAGTCTTGGCAAATTCTGGAGTAAGTGGCATAGAGGCAGCAGCTGCTTGAGAGATCCACTAAGTAACTGAAATCGCATTTAACTGATCGGTGACCATAGGTCCCATGAAACAACTGAAACTCTCATTTGGATTTATTGTTGTTCTTCTTCTTAAAATATGCTCTGATAAGAAAATTAATAATTGGATCATTTTAATTGATTCTTTAAATTATTTAATTAGGTTTATTAGTTTGCTAGTTTGAGAGCTTTAATTAATAATCATATTGTTTTATTTTAAGAATACATTGTTCTTCAGGGCACCTGAGTGACGAAGTCAGTTAAGTGTCTAGCTCTTGGTTTTTGCTCAAGTAATGATCCCAGGGACCTGAGATGGAGCTCCATATTGGGCTCTGCGCTCAGTGCAAGCCTCTTTGTCCCTCTCCCTCCCCATGCGCCCTCCCCTCCCCAAGATAAATAAATAAACCTTTAAAAAAATGCCTTAACCTGTACCCCTGGGGCTAATAATACATTATATGTTAATAAAAAAATTAAAAAAAATTTTTTTTAAATGCCTTAAAAAAAAATAGAGAATCCATTGTTCTTATAATAACTTCCAGCAATCATTATGTTCTATAGGAAAGAAAAATAATTAATAATTTTATTTTGTCTAGGTTTTGGTAAGCTTGTAGGTATGAATTGGACAGGGCCAGGTTCTAAAATAAAAGCTTGATTTTATTAATGTAGTTAGTATGTAAAAGTGGATGTCTATCATTTGAATATTTCTACTGTGTAACTTCCAAGTCATATCCAGCTCTTGAATATCCATAAAACAATAGGAAATAAAAATATTAAGGGCAGTTAAAATCCACATCACTTCTGTACTTTTGAAAAACAGTATTTATTGACTTTTTAAAATACAAAGGCAATCTATGTTCATTTTTTTTTTAAGATTTTATTTATTTATTTGACAGACAGAGATCACAAGTAGGCAGAGAAGCAGGCAGAGAGAGAGGAGGAAGCAGGCTCCCTGCTGAGCAGAGAGCCCGATGCGGGGCTTGATCCCAGAACCCTGGGATCATGACCTGAGCCGAAGGCAGAGGCTTTAACCCGCTGAGCCACCCAGGCGCCCCAGGCAATCTATGTTCATTATAGAAACTTAAATGTCGCCTCAATAGGCTTGTTAATCCTCTTTTCTTACCACGTGACTTCACTTGACATTTGAAATATTATAGAATTTGGCCACTTGAGACGTCTTGCCTCTCCCACCTTCTCTAGCAGTGATGCTCAGCCTGGAGGGTCTGACTGCAAGCTGGGAGCAAAGGGCAAAGGAGGAGCTGCCAACGGCTGAGATAATGAGTCCCGTGTGACACAGCAGGAACACTAAATCATGAGGACTCTACATTTCCAGACTCTGAAGGCTTTGTTGCTTTTATTAGTAAAATATAGCTCTGTGTAACACCTGTCAGTCCAACCGAACGTAATTGTTAAAAGCATAGGATGGAGTGTCAGGTAAATATAGATGTGGCTTCATATGATGTGCTTACTAGCACACTGCCTTACGCGGAAGTGACACCTTACTAACTCATCGCTCGTAATGGTGCTGCTGCTGTTGCCGCCAGTGCTAATAATTCATAATAGTTTTTTAAACAACATTCATGTTATTCTCAAGACCGAATAGTGGAAAAACAAAGTAAGTGAACTTAGACAAAGGTATGAACTCAATATTTTCTCATAAAATTACATGTATTTCTCATAAAATTACAAGTATTTCTAAAGGATCTGTCTTTTCTCACTAAAGGGACATCTCTCTCTTATTTTAACTCATGTCTTCTCAGTGTCTGATGGGTAGTATGTACTCAGTAAGTTATATTACTCAGTAAGTTGTATTTTGGTATTTGGGACAAGATTAGACCCTAAGGTGTACCTTGAAAAGGTAATAAATGGACCTGTTTGTATTGAGCCAAAAGCATGAATGTCAGATGGCTGCAGAAAGTGGAAGAGATAGCATCGGGTTTGGCTCTTTCATCTGGTGGCTAAGCTCAGAGCACCTGCTGTTCTTCAAAGAACAGGACTAAGAAAGCTAGCCCAGCCCAAGCTAAAACTAAAGTTAGAAAGTAAGTGACATACTAAGTACTACCAAAGTAGGCTCTGCAGTCCCATACATTCTTATCTGCACTCAGTTTGCTTTTCAGGATCCTTCACACTATAGTGATGTGGACTTGCCCTCTTAAACCTTTGAGAATGTTATGATTTGGCTACATTGCCATGGGCAGAGAGGACGGATAAGTAATTCAATGATCTGTGCCTCGCACCCAAGTTCTAGTCTTAATCCCCGAATAACCTCTGTGTTGAGCAGTCAGCTGCAAATAACATGAGTTGAGCTTGAGAGAAATTTTATTTGTGTAAGATTTAGTTCACCGATGGCTTTGTTTTGAGAGATAAAGCGTGCACGTGTGTGCAAGCTGTGGGGAAGGGGCAGAGGGAGAGGGAGAGAATCTTAAGCAGGCTCCATGGCCAGTGCAGAGGCCAGTGCAAGGCGATCTCTCAACCCTGAGATCATGACCTGAGCTGAAACCAGGAATCTGTTGCTTAACTGATTGAGGTACCCAGGTACCCCCTGATGGCTCTTTTCTTAAACAAATGTGTTGTTTCTATTCTACCAGTTATAATGCTAGAACAGTCAACTGTCATTTAGAATATTTCCTGTTGATGTTTAAGTATATTCAGGCTATAATTCTATCCTGTGCCTTTAAATGCCACACTGAACAAAAATCTTCATGCAGCTTAATAACTACTGTAGAGCAGCGTTCATAAATTAGTGCTTCCTGGGTATCAGTCACTGGTCTGAGCACCTTGCACGTTTTATGACATCTAAACTTGACACTGTCCTTCCTGCTACATTAAGTAGACTCTCTGAGGGGTTATGTTACTTTGCCCAGGTCAACAATAAAAAGTGATGGAATTAATATGCATACCCAGACCGTCTGGTTCCAGCACCTGCAGTCTTACACTGCCCTCTCTGCTGCATCCATTTTTTACTTTTCACAGTTATCGATACCGATGAAATGGAACACAGGGATACCTCAGAGAATCTTGAGGCTCAGTTGGCCCAAGCTCCCGCAGTAAAGCGAGAATCATAATGAAGCAAGTTATTGAAATAAAGTGAATTCTGATGAATTTTGTGGTTTCCCCGTACATATAAAAGTTTTGTTTATATGTACATAAAAGTACATAAAAGTTATGTTTATCATACTGCGTATTTATCATACTATCATACTGTAATCTGTTACGGTTCAGTAGCATTTTGCCTAAAAAACAGTGTCCATAACTTAATTTAAAAATACCTTATTGCTAAGAAATACTAACCATCATCTTAGCTTTCGGCGAGTTCTAAGGTTTTTGCTGATGAAAGTTCTTGACTCTGTGTTTTTGGCCGCTGACTGATCAGGGTGGTGGTTGCTGAAGGTTAGGGTGGCTGTGGCAGTTTCTTAAAATCAGACAACAGGGAAGTTTGCCCCATGAATCGACTCTTCTTTTCTGTTTCTCTATAGCACGCAAAGCTGTTCAGTAACATATTACCCACAGCACATTACCCACCCACTGCTTTGTCAACTAAGTTTATGTAATATTCTAAATCTGTTGCCATTTCAACATTCTTCATAGCATCTTCACCGGGATTAGGTTCTATTTCAAGAAACCACCTTCTTGACTCACCCCTAAGAAGCAACTCCTCATCTAGTGAAGTTTTATCATGAGATTGTAGCAATTCAGTCATATCTTCAGACTTCACTCGTAATTCCAGTTCTTTCCCCATTTCTACCACATCTGCTGCAGTTACTTCCTCCACTGAAGTCGTGAACCCCTCAAAGTCCTCTGTAAGGGTTAGAATCCTGTTCACATTATACTTTTGCCCTCTTCCCATGAAGCGTAAATGTTCTTAGTGGCATCTAGAATGGTTAATCCTTTCCGGAAGGTTTTCACTTTGTTTTTCCCAGATACACCAGAGGAATCACTATTTATGGCAGCTTAGCCTTATAAAATACTTTTCTTAAATAATGAAACCTGGAAGTTGAAATGACTCCTGAATCCACGGGCTCCAGAATGGATGTTGTGTTAGCAAACACGTAAACAGCATTAATCTCATTGTCCATATCCGTCAGAGCTCTTGGGTGGCCAGGGACATTGTCAATAAGCTGTCCTATTTTGAAAGGAGTATTTTTTTCTGAGTACTAGGTCTCAACAGTGAGCTTAAAATAGTCAGTAAATCATGTTATAAAAAGATGAGCTGTCATCCAGGTTTTGTTCTATTTATAGAGCACAAACAGAGTAAATTTAGCATAATTCTTAAGGGCCCTAGGATTTTTGGAATGATAAATGAACATCGGCTTCAACTTAAAGTCACCAGATGCATTAGCCCATAACAAGTCAGTCTGTCCCCTGCAGCTTTGAAGCAGGCATTGATAATCTCTCTGGCTATGAAAGTCCCAGGTGGCATCTTCTGCCAACGGAAAGCTGTTTTGTCTCCATGAAAATCTGCTGTTTGGTGTGACCACCTTTATGAATTCTCTCGGCTGGGTCTTCTGGGGAACTTGCTGCAGCTTCTCCCATCAGCACGTGCTGCCTCACCCTGCGCCTTGTGTTCTGGAGATGGCTTCTTTCCCCAGACCTCGTGAACCAACATCTGCTAGCCGCCAGCTTTCCTTCTGCAACATCTTCACCTCTCTCAGCCTTCCCAGAATGAGTCTGGGCCTTGCTCTGGATTAGGCTTTGATTTAAGGGAATGTTGTGGCCGGTTTGATCTTCTATCGTGACCGCTAAAACTTTCTCCGCATCAGCAAGAAGTTTGTTTTGCCTTCTTACCATTTGTGTGTTCACTGGAGTAGCACTTTTAATATCTTTCAAGAACTTTCCTGTGCATTTACAACTTGGCTTTGGTGCAAGAGGCCTAGCTTTCAGCCTGTCAGCTTGTGACATGCCTTCCTCCCTAAGCTTAAATCATTCTTAGCTATTGATTTAAAGCGAGAAACATGAGACCCTTCCTTTGACTTGAACACTTAATTGGCCTCATGTCGATATTGTGTCTCAGAATAAAACTGTGTCTGGACCTAAGGAGAGGGAAAGAGAAGGGAGAATGGCTGGTTGATGGAGCAGTCAGAATACACACATTTATTGATTAAGGTTGCCAGCTTAAATGGGCACAGTTTGTGGCACCCCAAACAAAAGATCACTGATCACAAAGCACCATAACAAGTATAGCAATAATGAGAAAGTTTGAAATGTTGCCAAACAGTTACCACAGTGTGACACGGAGGCATGAAATGAGCAAATGCTGTTGGGAAAATGGTACTGACAGACTTGCCAATACAGGGTTGCCACAGACCTTCAATTTGTGTTAATAAATAAATAAATAAATAATCAGTATCTGTGAAGTACAGGAAAGTGAAGTACAATAAAATGGGTGTGCCGTAGTAGGAAAGATAGTATCAAGTGGTTGACAGTACTCCCCAGGACTTTCTAATACGAATGCCTGTAGCCTACAAAGAATTACCTTTTTTTTTTTTTTTTTAAGATTTTTATTTACTTATTTGACAGACAGAGATCACAAGTAGGCGGGGTGGGGGGCGGTGGTTGGAGCAGGCTCCCCGCAGAGCAGAGAGCCTGATGTGGGGCTCGATCCTAGGACTCTGGGATCATGACCTGAGCTGAAGGCAGAGGATTTAACCCACTAAGCCACCCAGTGACAAAATTCTTTGGTGCCCCCAAATAATTACTTTTCTAACCCACATGTCATATGATTTTCAAGTTACACCACAAAAATCATTTATGAGATTTAGGTAGAAGTAAAAATGTCTTAACAGTATTTGACAGAGTAATTCTTATCTAGATCCTCTGAGAAGTACGCAGAACCGTAACTGAATCCATGGATTTTTTTGAAATCAAATGTCTAGGTTTTGTCTGTGTGAGACATCCCTTTTGTACTTTGTCACCATCATATACGAGCACTTTGCTGAAATAAATAGAGAATAAGTAGGATAAGTAACTGATAGTTACAAAGCACACTTATATAGTATAAATCCATTGTGGAAATGCCTGTTCTCTCTCTCTGTTCTCATATCCAGAAATTAAAGAACTGGTCTGTCCAAACACGGATTTTAGGCTGATGAGAATTGGAAATAACTATGATTCTCAACTAGAAATAACCCAGAGAAATCCAGTGTGGGCTCTGGTATCTGCTCTACGCCAAAACGAGCAATCGCCTTTTTTTTTTTTTTTTTTTTTACCTTTCATGAATGATAGAACCGTTTATTGCTTGTTTTCACTTTAAACAAAAATTTGAGCTTCACAAAGTTTAATTGTTTCTTGTTTTAAATAATTTGGCTTTTTTCGTCGACTTCCTTTTCTTAAAATATATGTCCATTTGGAGCACCTGCCTGGCTCAGTTGGTTAAAACTTCCGACTCTTGATTTTGTCTCAGGTCGTGACCTCAGGGTTGTGAGATTGAGCCCCAGGTCTTGCTCTGGGCTGGCCGAGGAGCCTGCTACTCTCTCTCTCTCTCCCTCTTTAACAACAACAATAAAAAGATATGTGTATGTTCTTTTTAATCTATAAAAATAGTGTTTCTTGGTTACCCCTGTTATATTAATCTGTAATTAGTAAACATCCAAAATGTTCTAGCTACTAAATTATGCCCTTCCTCTATGATGTATACATTTACTTATAATTATATGTTTCTAAGTTGCTTGTCTATTTCTCTCTCTCGCTTTCTGCCTAACTGTAGAGTAATCAAATAAGGCAAATGGAAGAAGTAAAAATTTCAAAGAAGAGTAAAGTAGGAATTCTTCCATTTGTTGCTGAATTTGAAGAATTTGCTGGACTTGCAGAATCGATCTTTAAAAATGCTGAGCGTCGTGGAGATCTAGATAAAGCATACACTAAACTTATCAGAGGAGTATTTGTTAATGGTAAGCCTTTGTGATGTACTGAAGAATTTTTTGGTTGGTTGGTTCACTATTTATGGTCACTCAAGTTGGGAGATAGATATGTTCATTATTTCCATATTCTATAGACTTATTTAAGTTTTTTGAAAGTAGATATTTCTTGAATCTGAAAAAATAAGAAGCAGTACATTAAACCCATTCATATTCATCAGGAACCGCTTCTATTTTAGGGTTTATATGGGATTATCACTATGCAAAATTGGAATTCCTTTTTTAATCAAAAAAAAAAAACAACCCTTTTAAAAAATTTAAAAATGAGATTTTACATTTGCATTTTAGCGAGACTCTTTGGGAGATGATAGGCAGTGATGTCTGTGTAATATTAAGCAAATCAACTTACTTCTTTAGGCCTTGGTTTTTTTATCTGTCACGTAAGGTAGATTAATGCTAAACTACGGTCTTCCTGTGGCAGATCCTACAATTATGTTACAGAAACAGTATGATGGGCCATTTAGTTTGAAATAAATGATCTGACTGCATATATTCAGGAACTTTAAAAGCTGAAACAGTTGACAGGAAGTGGAATCATCTTTCCAATCACATACAACATTTTCAGTGGAAGCAGGCCTAGGGGAAAGATGGATAAATTATATGGTTGGTCATTCATTTGTTCATTCATTCATTCATTTTGAGGAGTATTTCTTTTAAAATTAAAAGTAGCTTTGGGGCACCTGGGTGGCTCAGTTGGTTAAGCATCCAACTCTTGATCTCAGCTCAGCTCAGATCTTCATCTCAGGGTCATGAGTTCAAACCCCAGGTTGGGCTTCATGCTGGGTATGGAGCCTACTTTAAAAAAAAAAATTAAATTCAAAGTAGCTTTGCTTTGTCTGACTGTAAAGTAATATATGCTCATTGTACACCCCCCAAAATGAAAAAACAGATTTTAAAAATCAAGAAAAAAATAAAAATAATTTGTAATTTCATTAGGCAGAGATAACATTTAATTTTTATTCTTCTAAGCTTTTCAATATTTCTCCTTCATATGTATGTGCCTATTGTATATATGTGTATGTGTATTCTTGAATATAAAAGTTTTTATCATACCTTACACTCTGTTTTGGAACCTGCTACTCTATAATTCTAATACCTCTCCTTGTCAATTTATATTATGACTGTAATCATTTTTAATGAATGTAATAATTCTTATATCATTATTTATCAAATCTTCATTAATAGGCATTTAGTTTGTTTCCAATTTTTTGCATATATTTTTGTATTCTTGCCCTTGGGGTAAATTACTGGAATTGGAATTACCAGGTCAGAAGGTTTGCATATATCTCAAGGCCTTTGCCAGACTGCCTCACAGAAAGGTGAGTTTAATGTGCCAGGCTGTTGATGAAAGTTTTCATCACATCTCATTAATGCTGAATATTAGTAAGTATTATCAGTCTTTTTATTGTTTGTCAACTTAATAGACTAAAATTGATTTTGTTCATAGTATCTTTTCTTTTGCCATGCAAGAGCTTTGGAAATTTCCTCTCAGATTTATTCATCTCTCCTTTTATGATTTCTAAGTTTTGGATTATCTGTAAAAAAATCGTGCAATCACAAAATTATTTTTTGTAAGATTTTATTTATTTGGCATAGAGAGAGACAGAGCACAGGCAGGGGAAGCTGGAGGCAGAGGGAGAAGCAGTCTCCCTGCTGACAGGGAGCCCGATGTGGGGCTCCATCCCAGGACTCTGGGATCATGACCTGAGCGGAAGGCAGACGCTTAACTAGCTGAGCCACTCAGGAGCCCCAAAATTATTTTTTTAATTAGATTTATTTTCCTTAGTACTTGTGATTATATTTGTTTATTTGCTTTTTACATTTTTAAGTACTTAAGCAATTTAGAATTTGTTTGGCTGAAAATGGGAAATAGGAATCCAGATTTATTAGTGTATTCGAAAGGACCAGCTAGTTGTCCTACCACATTCTGAATAATTCATCATTTCCCCCACTGATTTGAAAAGCTACCTTTATTATATACTACATTTCCATTTATATGTTTATAACTATTTTATTTTTTTATAACGATTTTATTTTATTTTATTTAAAGATTTTATTTATTTGACAGAGAGAGATCACAAGTAGGCAGAGAGGCAGGCAGAGAGGCGGGGGGCGGGGGGACGCAGGCTCCCTGCTGAGCAGAGAGCCCGATGCAGTGTTCGATTTCAGGACCCCAAGACCATGACCTGAGCCGAAGGCAGAGGCTTAACCCACTGAGCCACCCAGTGTGCCCCTGCACACTATTGTAGTGTGATTTTTATATTAGGGCTAGGTGGATATGGAGACCCTTCAGAATATCTTAAGTCCAGAAATGTACTTACTACTTAAACTTAAAAATGAAAAAAAATCATGTAAGTATTTTATAGCTAAATATGGTAATCCTCATGTCAGGATATTATTATATATTTTCTTCTTTTATTTTAGTGGAGAAAGTAGCAAATGAAAGCCAGAAGACCCCCAGAGATGTAGTTATGATGGAAAATTTTCACCATATTTTTGCAACACTTTCTCGTTTGAAAATCTCATGTCTAGAAGCTGAAAAAAAAGAAGCCAAACAAAAATACACAGATCACCTTCAGTCTTATGTCATTTACTCTTTAGGGCAACCTCTTGAAAAACTAAATGTAAGTATATTTTCATTCAGTATTATTTTCCTGATTTTGAACCTCTGTACATATGTTTACATATGAAAAACACAAGACATTTATCCTAAATTTGCTCGTGCATTGATGGGAAGGATAAGGAAGGAGGGACCCAGTTATCAAAGGTTCCAGTGTACCAAGATACTGCTAGATGGTCTATATTATTTCTTTTAATTGTTGTAAACAGTGACGTGGGGTAAGGTGGTATCAACCCATTTTACAAATGAAGAAACTGAAAGTAAATATACTTGCTTGAAGTTACAACTGGCAAGTAGCAAAGCTGGGGAATGAACCCCAGGTTAGGCTTTTCCATTATTCCATACTCTCCTATTTCATACCTCACAAATGGCTGATCTTTAACCTTAGTTCAGATGAAGATTTCAAAAACTTTATCAAGATGAAAGGAAAAAGCAAAAAAATTCCCCTTCCTTTCCTGAACTGAGTTATTCCCCAGAACATATTTGACTAAAATTAAGAAAGGATGGTTTGGGGGCACCTGGGTAGCTCAGTTCGCTGAGCCTCTGACTTGGTTTTGGCTCAGGTCATGATCTCAGGAGTTGTGAGGTCAAGTACCACATCAGACTCCACACTCACTGGGAGTCTGCTTGACGATTCTCTCCCTCTGCCCCTCCCTCTAGGGTTCAAGGTCTGTCTCAGACCTAAATCCTGTGTGATACTTAACTGCAACATCAGAGACATTCCCTGTGAAATCAAATTTAAAGCAGAAACATTGCTAGATCCTTTAATATTTAACATTGCTGTGGAAGCTCTAGCCAATGCAATAAGACCTAAAACATAAATAAAAGATATTGAAAGAGAGTTAACAGGGCACCTGGTGGCTCATCTGACTCTTGATTTCAACTCAGGTCTTGATCTCAGGGTCATGAGCTCAAGCGCTTGCATTGGGTTCTGTACTGAGAGTAGAACCTACTTAAGATTCTCTCCCTCTCCCTCTGCCCCTCCCAACCCTGCCCACATGCACACACACTCTCTCTCTCTAAAGAAAAAGAGAGTCAAGATTATAATTACAGGTATATATGTTGAAATTACTGAACTATAATAAATAACAGGATTCAAAATAAAAATATAAAAAACAACTTATTTCCTATATGTCATAATAACCAATTAAAAGTTTATATAAAAACAAAAATCTAAAAGCACCAGGAATAGACTTGTCAAAACAATTATTAGCAAAAACATAATAATAATAATTTAATGAAGAATAAACAAATAGTAATTGCCAAGAAGATTTTAGAAAAAAGTAATGAGAGGGGAGTTTGCCTTTTCAGTATTCAGAGTGTATTGTATAGTGATCAAATACAGACTTGCCAATCAATAAAATTGCATTAAAAACAAATATAAAAAATTTTAAAAATAAAATAAAAAACAAATATATTTCAGAGACAACCTGAGATGAATATTTGTAACAATCCAGTAGTCAGTAATATAAAATATGATACCTTTTTAATTTTTTTAATTTTTTTTTTAAAGATTTTTATTTATTTATTTGTCAGAAAGAGAGAGAGAGCGAGCACAGGCAGACAGAGTGGCAGGCAGAGGCAGAGGGAGAAGCAGGCTCCCCACAGAACAAGGAGCCCGATGTGGGACTCGATCCCAGGACGCTGGGATCATGACCTGAGCCAAAGGCAGCTGCTTAACCAACTGAGCCACCCAGGCGTCCCAAGATACCTTTTTTAAATCAGTAAGACAACCACTAAAATCCCAACGTATAAATGGGCAGGGGTTCTGAATATACTATGAAACATATGAAAGCAAGTTAACTTCATTTATAGCCAAAGAATTGTGAAATAAAGAAACCAGTCTTTTTCACTCATCAAAATGCAATGATTTTTTTTAATTGTGATAATATGGTAAATAGCAGTCTCTTCTGTACTATTGACAGAAATATAAATTGTTTGAACTTGCCTGGGAAGCAATTTATGTACATTAAGAATCTTCAGAATACTTAAAATTATACTTTTCAACTGAGGAATTATAGTCATAGAAATTTGTGTCGAAAAGTAATCAGTAATGTGGGTAAATAGTTGCGTATGAAAGATACTTATGACAATTGTGTTTAAAATAAATTTCTTTTAATCTGAGTAGATTCTGCCAACTTTAAAAAAAAAATGAAAAATGTTAAATATCCAGTACTGGAGGAATGAATGTATAAGTTGTAGTTCAGTCATTAGATGAAATATTATATAGCCATTACAATTTATACTTCAGAAAAAATAAATATTACAAAATATTTTTAAAAATTTTATTTTTTAAAAAATAAAATAAAATTTTAAATTAAAATTAAATTTAAAAAATAAATATTACATGGAAAATATAACATACAATATTATTATCTCACCTATGTACTCATTAGAAATAGGGGCGCCTGGCTGTCTAAGTTGGTAGAGCATATAAGTCTTGATCTTGATGAGTTCAAGCCCCACACTGGGTGTAGAGACTACTTAAAAAAATAGAATCAAAAATAGAATCTTGGGGCACCTGGGTGGCTCAGTCGTGTCTGCCTTCAGCTCATGTCATGATCCCAGGGCCCTGGGATCGAGCCCCACATCAGGCTCCCTGCTCAGCAGGAAGCCTGCTTCTCCCTCTCTTGCTCCCCCTATTTGTATTCCCTCTCTCACTGTCTATCTCTCTTTGTCAAATAAATAAATAAAATCTTTTAAATAATAAAATATTAAAATAAAAATATAGAATCTTAAAAAAAACAAAAACAAAAAGAAGGAAATCTAAAATGTTAACACTGGTTATCTCTGAGTAGTGAATAATTATTTTATCCTTCATACTTTTATGTATTTTCTGAGTTTTATACAGTTAATAAAATAAACTGTTTTCTAAGCAGGACTTTTTGATTTAAGTGACAATAAAAGCAGTGCTTAGCCATTATTTCTTTTATTTCACATTTTTGTTTTTATTTATTTTGCCTTTTTTTTTGTAGTTTCACGTTTTTATTTAAATTCCAGTTAACATACAGTATAGTATTAGTTTCAAGTATAATGATGCATTACTTACATACAACACCCTGTGTTCATCACAGCAAGTGCCCTCCCTTAATACCCATCACCCCTTATCCCATCCCCTCACCCACCTCCCATCCAGCAACCCTCAGTGTATTCTCATAGTTAAGAGTCTCTTACGTGGGACACCTGGATGGCTCAGTGGGTTAAGCATGTGCCTTTGGGGGAAAAAAAAATCTGTCTTCGGCTCACGTCACTATGCCGGCACCCTGGGATTAAGCCGTACATCAAGTTCCCTGCTTGGCGGGGAGCCTGTTTCTCACTGTCCCTCTGCTGCCAATGCCCCTGCTTGTGTGTACACGCTCTCTCACTCACTCACTCGCTTGCTCTCTGTCAAATAAATAAATAAAATCATAGGGGAAAAAAAGAATCTCTTATGGTTTGCTTCTCTTTTTGCCCCCTCTGTTCATTTGTTTTTTTCTTAAATTCCACATGAGTGAAGTCATATGGTGTTTGTCTCTCTGACTTATTTTGCTTAGCATAATACTCTGGCTTCATCCACATTGTTGCAAATGGCAAGATTTTGTTCTTTGATGGCTGCATAATATTCCATTGCATATGTATTCCACATCTTCTTTTTTCATTTCCTTGAAGCATTTCTTTGAAGGCGTTGAAGCTCGAGTAGCACAAGGTATAAGAGAGGAGGAAGTAAGCTATCAACTTGCATTTAACAAACAAGAACTTCGTAAAGTCATTAAAGAGTATCCTGGAAAGGAAGTGAAAAAAGGTCTAGATAACCTCTACAAGAAGGTTGATAAACATTTATGTGAAGAGGAAAACTTACTTCAGGTATGCTTCCTTCTGTTAACCATTCTAGATTGCACATCTTAAAATATATTGCTTTTCTCCAAACAAGTCCTCTGGAAAGGCTACAGATTTTCTAATTCTAGTGCAGGAGGAAATTTTCCATGAAGTGCTATAAAGTACAGACCAGATCAATGAGTTATGAGGAAGAAAGGAATAATATTTATAATGTGTTTATATGGCTATTCCTGTTTACTTTATATTTCTACTTTATAGTTTTGAGGCATGAGTTGTTTTTCTTTTGTTTGGGGTTGGGGCAGGGGTTTTTTTTAGGCTTTCTGTTTGTTTCTTGAGATTTGAGGGGATTAACTAAATGGAGTAGAGTATATAATACAGTGGAGTGATTCTGAACATGGGAGCCAGAGTTAGAAACAGGTTCATAATGTGGCTCTAGATTAAGCTGCATGACTTTGGGCAAGTCACTTAACATCTCTGAGCCACAATTTTCTTATCTGAAAAGTGGGAATAATACCTCTCTCATATAGTGGACACTACTACTATTGCCATTTATAGATGAGAAAATCCAAGCTTAGAAAGGTGGAGTAACATGACCAAGATCTCACAGCTGATAGATGGTGGAGCCAAATTTAAACCCCAGATGGGGCCATTTTTCTCTATAAACCACACTGGAAGGCCCAGAGATAAGTGAGAATAATTCTGACTTCAATATCATCAAAGCCTTTTTGAGGGCTGTTGCATTTCTGTTGGCCTCTGAAAGTCAGATAGATGTGGATAAAGTGAGAGGAGTGGCAGGTAGAAGAAATACCGTGAGCTAAAGGATATAAAGCAAAAAGTGCAATACTGTTCGGTAAGTAGACTTAAGGTGACAGGATGCAGGATTTATGAGATTAAAGGTTTACAAGGAAAATTCCTGGAAAAACATATTCCCTCATCTGCTGGATAGTAATGATGGTCATAGCACCCACCCTCACCAGGGTGTCATGAGACTTAAATAGGATAATACATGTATAAAGCACTTTGTACTGTGCTGATACAGAGTAAGCCTCGATAAATGTCACCTATTCGTATTAGCTAATGTGTCGATGTATATATCAGGTTCTGCCTTGATAGTTATCTACATAATAGTTTCCACTGCTGAATCATATATATAATCCGTCTATCTCATCTTGGTATCCTTCATGGCATCAAGCAATGTTTTGTATCATCCATTTTGGATAAATGTTTAAACTTCCATCTGGAATGAAATGTAAGCATTAACTGTTGCATTTCACTTAATTACTAGTCTTAGTTCCACATATAATTGTGCATACACACATCTCTATTGGATATTGTAGTAGATATAATAATAGCTAAAATGTAATGAGTGCTTACCATGTCAAACACTGGTAAGCACCTTACAAACATGCACTCATTTAGTCCTCACAAGAAACTTATGAGGAAGGTATTATTGTGACTATCCTGGTTTACAGATGAGGAACTTGAGGCTCAGAGCAGTAATGTAACATACTCCAGGTCACATGTCTTGTAAGTCGAAGGAGTAAAGATGCGTGTCCTTAACCATTACCCTCTGCTAAAATCTTAGAATATATCTTGATATTATTTCTACACACTTGATTATATATTTCCATTCATAATTTAATGACTTTTATTTTCATTTTTATAATAGGTGGTGTGGCACTCTATGCAAGATGAATTTATACGCCAATACAAGCACTTTGAAGGTTTGATAGCTCGCTGTTATCCTGGATCTGGTGTTACAATGGAATTCACTATTCAGGACATTCTAGATTATTGTTCCAGCATTGCACAGTCGCACTAAAAAAGAAGAGATAAATGAAAGGAATGTCTACTATTTTGTGTGTGTGTATATATACTTATGTATATGTGTGTATACATACCTACACATGTATATGTGTGTATACATACACACACACACACACACACACACAAAAAAAAAAAAAAAAAAGCAAAGATTTAGATGCTAGGGAGCCCTGTTGCTTTAAGTCAACAGATTGAGTAGGAGGAATGCTTATATACAGCTTTCCTTATCTGTGTAACTAATAACATGAGAGCTACCTGCTGCAGTGGTCACTTGGCCCTATGTAATAACAGAGACATGTGAAAGGATGAACACCAAATTAAGTGGCCCAGAAAGTGACAAAACCATACTTTTGACAAATTTATTTAATCCACTGTGGTAGAAAAGGTACAACTCCAATAAATGCATCATTTAAATATTTAAAAATTTTAAAACCTTCTGAAAGAAGAAAAAGATAAATGAAAAAAGCACTCTGAGTACACCAGACTTTATTCAAATTATCAAGTAACTGTTTTGAGAACCCAGACTTGGAACTTTATGCATTATTAAATGTCAGATAAATGGGTAATACCATACTACAAATATTCAAGAGCAAAAGTACCAATTTATGTAGCAGTTTTATCTGCCCAATAAGTTGTGTACTAACTTAAAACATTTCTCTCATCATAAAATGCCTTTAGCATTTTTCTATGACTGAGCAGAAAGTCTTCTTTTATTGTCTAGTTTCTTGTATTTGACAATGGTTATCCTGTGTGTAAGGCATTAGGAGTTCTTCAGTTTTCACTAATTCACTATTGCCTACAAATCATGTAACTACTAAAATATTGTACAGAACTTTTTTCCCTTCTAACTAATGTGTATATGGATAAGGAATCTTGTGATGATCAGTTATAAATTTAGATTTTGAGAATTATGTGACTTGTGTGGCAATGAATCTGAAATAAAGAAATTTTCAAAAAAATTTTTTCAGGAAAGTTAAAATTTTATATTCTTAGGTTTGTTATATGCTATTTTTATAAAACCAAAGTCTTACAAAATCAATATACAAAAATTAATTACATGTTCATTTACCACAAAACACTTAAAAGTATAATAAGAAAAATAGAACCATATATAACAGCATCAAAAACATTTAGTACTTAGGACTAAATCTAACAAAAAAATGTACTATATATTGAATTATGCCTTCTCAAAGTTCACTTGTTGAACCCCTAACCACCAACCCCCCCCAACAGTGTGACTGTATTAGAGATAAGACCTTTAAGGGGGTGATTAAGGTTAAATGAGGCCATAAGGATAGAGCCGTGATCCAGCAGAACGGGTACCCATATAAGAAGACACTGGAGCTCTTTGTTTGCCATGTGAGGACACAGCAAAAAGGCCGCCATTTCCAGGCCAGAAAGAGCTCTAGAATCCAACCATGTTGACAGCCTGATCTTGGACTTAGAGCCTCCAAAACTGAGAAAATAACATTTCTGTTAGCCCACTCAATCTATGGTATTTTATTATGGCAGCCTGAGCTAATAATACAAGATGTAAAAGATCTTTAGGAAGGAAATTATAAAAACTATTGAAAGATATTAAAGAAGGCCTAAATAAGTGGAGAATTATTTCATGCGTCCAGATAAGAACACATAACAGAGTAGAAATATCAGTTATTCTCAAATGTAAAGATTCGGTACAGATTTCCAGTTTCCAGTCCTATGCAAAAGAAACTTGGAAGTCACCTCTCCATTCTAATAAGTGAAAAGCTGAACAAACTGAAAAATCAACTCTTCTCAGATCTGTAAGAGAAGTGAAGTCACAGGGCAAACCACTGCCACAATTGGAGAGATCCAGCAGGAGAAGACAGAATCACAACTTACCGGACCAGAAACCCACAAGCTGAAACATCCACAGGAACCAATGTCCAGGTAGGGAAAACTGAACTGTAATTGACAAATTCCTTGAGGCTGAGTGTGGGTTAAGTCTGAGAAATAACTCCCGGTCGTTAGGAGTCCCTCAAATATTTGTGAGCTTTACCTCCTGTAGTTCTACCAGTGAACGTCAGAGAAAAATCCTCTTGTGCTTCTGGCAGAAGGACAAAGAAAGGATCCATTTTGAAATATGGCAGAGTATTCTGCCCCTGACAAATTGTGTTCTCAGGAGAAACTATTTAACCAGAGCTCAAATGACCTGGGAGAAGGGAAGTCCCCAGTTCCAGCTGGCTCTAGCCTTACACAAGGAGGAAGAGAAATACCCAACTTCAGTCCATTGTATGTCATCTTTTCCCACATAAAGGGGGAAGGGCTGAAAAGCACAGGTAAATTTGTGCCTGGAGGTACAAGCTCACTAAAAGACAGACCTATTCATAGGACTATATAGTTTCCTCCAGCACCCCACCTTCACATTACTAATGGCCTACATACAGCAGTTCCTTTTACCTAGCTATCTGGCTATCAAGGAGAAAATTACAAGACAAAGGCAAAAAAAAAAAACACAAACAATTTAAAGAGACAAGCATCAGAACAAGACTCAGATAGGATAGGGTTTTTGGACTTAACAGCAGCAGTTGAAAATAATTAGTATGGTAACTGTTCTAATAGATAAAGTAGAGCACATGTAAGAACAGATGGGCAATGTAAGCAGGGACAAATTCCTTAAGGAAAACCCAAGGAAATCACAGTGATCAAAGCACTGGAACAGAAATTAAGAATGCCCTTGATAAACTTATTAGTAGATTGAACACTGCCAAGGAAGGAATCTCTGAGTGTGAGGATATCTCAAAAGAAACCTCCAAAGCCAGAAAGCAAAAAGAACAAAGACTAGAAGGGAAAAAAAAAAAAGAAGAAGAAGAAGAAGAAGGACAGGGACAGCTACAAAAAGTATAGTATGTATGTAATGGGAATACCAAAAGGAGAAGAGAAATGAACAGAAGAAATATTTGAAAAAAATAATGCTTGAGAAATTCCCTGAGTTTGTGTCCAACACCAAACCACAAATCCAGGAAGCTGTTCCAAAAAAACAAGCAGAATGAATGCCCAAAAAACTATACCTACACATATAATTTTCAAGCCTCAGACAATGAAAGATTAAAAAAAAAAAAAAAATCCTGAAAGAAGCCAGAGTGAAAAAAAGACTTCACTTCTAGAGGAACACGGATATGAGAATTACATTCAACTTCTCAGAAACCAGGCAAGCAAGAAGAGAGTGGAGTGAAATATTTAAAGTACTGAGAGAAAAAACCCACCCACCTAGAATTCTATACCCTGTGAAATTATCCTTCAAAAGTGAAGGAGAGATTGTTTCCCAGATGAGCCAAAAAAGGGAATTTGTTGCCAGTAAACTTGCCTTAAAACAAATGTTAAAAGAATTTTGTGGGGTTCCTGGCTGGCTCAGTCAAGTAAAGGTCCAGCTCTTGATTTCAACTCAAGTCATGATCTCAGGGTCGTGAGATTGAGCCCCACATTGGGCTCTGCACTCAGTGGGCAGTCTGCTTGAGATTCTCTCCCTCTGCCTCTCCCCCAACTCATGTGCTCACTCTCTCTCAAATATATAAATCTTTTTTAAAAATTTGAAAAGAGAAAAAAATAAAAGATGAAACCAGAAAGGGAGTCAAACCATAAGAGACTCTTAATCATAGGAAACAAACTGAGGGTTGCTGGGTGGGAAGGAGGTGGGGGGATGGGGGTCACTGGGTGATAGACATTAAGGAGTGTACATGATGTAATGAGTACTGGGTATTACATAAGACTGATGAATCATTGACCTCTACCTCTGAAAGCAATAATACATTATATGTTAATTAATTGAATTTAAGTAAAAAAAAAAAAATGGGAAAAAAAATTTTTAGAAGGAAAATGGTAATGAAAATGAGTGAATTTTAGATACACACAACAGTGTAGATAAGTACCAGGAAAATAATGGCAGATGAAAAAAAAAGTCACAGAAGAATGCATACAATATGATTCTATTATTATAAAATTCAAAAACCTTCAAAATTAAACACTATGCTGTTTAGAGTCACAAATGTAAAACTGAAGAAAAGCAAGGGAATGATGTCAAATTTTGGAGAGGTGATTAAGGGACAGGAAGGAAAGTATCGGTATCTGACAGGTACACGTGGGATTTATTTTTTTGTTGTGTTGAAGATTTTATCTATTTGAGAGGGAAGGAGCATGAGCAGGGAGAGCAGCAGGGCAGAAGGAGAAGCAGGCTCCCCGCTGAGGAGGGAGCCCGATGTGGGGCTCAGTCCCAGAACCCTGGGATCATGACCTGAGCCAAAGGCAGACACTTAACCAACTGAGCCACCCAGGTCCTCCCAGGTACACATAGGATTTTAAAGGCATATTATAATATTCTTTTTTTTTTTTAAGATTCTATTTATTTATTTGACAGAGAGAGATCACAAGTAGACAGAGAGGCAGGCAGGCAGAGAGAGAGAGGGAAGCAGGTTCCCTGCCGAGCAGAGAGCCCAATGTGGGACTCGATCCCAGGACCCTGGGATCATGACCTGAGCCGAAGGCAGCAGCTTAACCCACTGAGCCACCCAGGCGCCCCATATTATAATATTCTTAAACTAGGCAGTGGGCACATGGATTTTATTGTATCATGATTATTTATCCCTTACATATACATTATAAATCTTATTTTCTATCAGTTCAACATTTAACTTAAAAACTTTAAATCAGATCTGTCTGTGTGCATCTTTATTGATATACAATAAAACCTGGACATTTATAGGTAACAATCTGGGGCCAAAAGAAATCCAATGACTTCATCGAGGTCCAAGACAAGTATTAACAGAGCTGATAATGCCACATGATGCTGAACTCCCTCTCCAAGTGCTGGCCTTTCTTTTTTTCTAGGAAAACAGGAATGATACAGATATAAGTACATATCACATTGAAAGACCAGACATTACTATCCCCACTAGCAGGCAAAAACAATGGATGACTCCCACCAGCCACAGTTTTCTGGACCCTAAAGATCTATACTACCATTTACTAGAAGGGAACAGTGAACTTCTAAACAAAATGCT